GAGTAACCATCGCCCACCACTCCCCTCCCCAAACTGCTAAAACCTTCCAGGTCTCTCTTGAAAATCAGTCACGAGACTGAGGCTTTCTTGGGTTAAGCAAGCAATACAAACGTTTTTTTCTTTACTCATTGGTTCTTTCGGTATGTAGAAATAAAATTAAAATAAATCACGAATAAAATATAATTAGAACAAATCACGTTTCGAACGCAACACAAGCGCTCATCATCATGCGTTCGAAACGTCGTTATTTATTCTAATTATATTTATTTGTGATTTATTTAAAAAATTATTTTATTTCGACATACGTGACTACCGAAAGAACCAATGGGTATAGTAATTCCTGCAGTCACGAAAGCTTCAATTCTAGATTTGTTTTCTTTTCAAGGCCACGGTGGTTTGAACAACAAACAATGTGGGGTGTTTTTTCGTGCTCACGCGCCACTGCCGAGGGCAACAGCAGCAGCGAGAATCACCAAATTCATCCGTCTCTCGGCGTATATTCAACCCTACGGCTGCGTCTCATGGCAAAATGTTCACAAGCGAAAATACCGAAGTCTGAGGTCTGCTGCTGGCGAGAGAGCTTCAGGAGAGAGTTCGTGTAGGTTGGCTGTTCCTCCTCAATTGAAAGAGCGCAAGACTATAGTGGGGTTTTGAGTTGTACGCCTTTTGGCGTCATCTGGTCCAACACCAATGGAGACTAGGCTCTAAGGAAAGCTGTCTCGGGTGTGGGCCAATCAACTTCAAGGACAGTGCATATCATTACCATTATCAGAGTTGTTTCTTTTTGTTTGCATTTTGACTGCTTGTGTTGCGGTTATTGCAAACATGATGCCTTGTATAAAGGTGTCAGTTTTGTACCAGTTGAAAGGGTAAAAACCGACTACTACAGTGGGGTATTTACTAACTATACTGGTCCATACTTTCGTTTGCCGGCCACAGTCGCATTACTGTGGCTTGTGCCTTTAATGTTGACGTTATAAGGTCGAACTCGTTCCACACAAAGTGCCTGCCGCAAATTCACCACGACACCCTCGCTGATCTCGTCAAAGAGCATAAACGATCACGCGAACTCCGCTCGTCATCCTCGCAGTCGCGGCTTTTGGGCTGGCCGTCGAACAAAAGACGGTGGTCACCGCATCTGCGTTCCAGACGGACGGAACAGTGGCTTCCGATGTTAGGATGATCTGTGGCAAAGAATTCCGATGTTAGAAAGCCACTGGCAGCTGTGCACTTTTCAATCACCTCGATTGAAAACTCATCCCGTTAAAACTGCTTTTTGTCATGAGACTACATTTGCCAGTAGCAAAATATAATAGGGTTTTTTACCCTTTTATCTGGCACAAATCCGACACCTTTTTACAAGGGATCATGTTTGTCTCTGGTGTGGACCAATCAATTTCAAGGACAATGCATTCATTATCAGTGCTGTTTTTTGTTTGCATTTGACCGCAGGTATTGTGGTTAATGCAAACATGATCCCTTGTAAAAATGTCAGTTTTGTGCCAAATAAAAGGGTAAAAAAACCTATTATAACTGCTTTTGTGTTTAGTTTGTCCTTCCCCCGCGCCTCCGATGAGCACGGCTGGATACGTACGGTGCGAAAGAAGTTATACATACAATGTTCCACGTGTGAAGGAGAGACGTGCATTATGATCCGTGGCAAAGGATTCTCAAGCAGTGCCCTCTACCGGTGTCTGGTGGCTACTGGACATTCCACGTTACCGCTTCCCTCTCAGGCGAGAATTTCTGCCGTAACCTCCACCCTTCCTCCCTCGCATTCCTTTCACGTTACACAGGCGGCTCGCAACTCGATGCCTGCCCCTAATAAACATCCTTGTCAGACAGCTCATCCACAAGGCGGGTCGTCCACACTCGCTGCTGCTGCTGGGAGGACAGAACCCACCCTGTTGAACACCGTGACATCACCCTCCTCGACGCAGTAAATACGCCAAGCGCTAGCGCCATCTATCGGGAGAAGTTAGGTTTACGTTTTCCTGCTCCGATTTGTCCTGAGTTACAATCTTATGCATGAAAATAATTAATCCTTTATATGCGTGGCATCGGGGCGGCTAGAGTCCTCTCGTCCTCTGGCTTGAGATGGCTGCCACCTATGGGTCAGATGATTGTTCTGGCAGCATTAAACAATAGGTAATTAAATATTTTTAAAAAATTCCCTAAAGAGTGTAAAATTTAGGAATTTTTTTTTCACGAAAATGCATTGTCACGCACAACGAGTCTGTGTGCAAAATGTCAGCTCGATTGGATCAGGGGAAGTGGGTTAAAAAACGACCGAAAGATGTGCACGGTCCTAAGCAAGCAAGCAAACTTAATATAAAGAATTTAAAAATTAGAATAGGTTTCCCCCTTTCTGGCAAACACATTCCTGCGGAAAAAGCTGGTAGGGACGTTGGGTTGCTCGGTCAATGGCCAAGGTCAACGGCGGCGTAGTGTATTCCGCAAATATGGCCGACTGTGAGGGCGGGCACAAGCCGGCGTGAGTAGGTTAAACGTTGAGTTTTATAAGGGCACCAAGGGGTGACCAGCCCCTCCCCACCCAGCCCCACCCAGCCCCACCCCTGCCACCCCCCACCCAGCCCCACCCTGCCCCTCCCCACCCAGCCCCACCCCTCCCATTTTTGATTCACGACGGACGGACACAATAATCCCCTGTGGGCTGGTGTAACCAGGAGGTTTCTACCAGTATAAAACATGTGTTAAGATGTTCAAACACCAAATAGAAACCTTTTTCAAGGAATCGTGTCTGCACTAACCACACGTACTTGTGGTGAACATGCAAAACGAAACATGCCCTGATAATGTGTTCATTGTCTTTGCCACTGCTGCCATTCGGGTTACCTCTGGCAATCCTTGCAAGAGTAAGCAGGCATGTGTAGGACGCGCAAAGCAGTAACAAGCTGGCTTCCATGCAACAGTTTGTGCATATATGACACACGTGCCCAAAATGTGGCATTATTAATTTAATGGCAGAGCGTAAGAGGCAGGAATACCCATCAAATTCTGAACTAGTCCCACAATAACATCGGTGGGCATTAACATGTACTAACATTAAGCACAGAAACAGTCTTAATACGAGTTGGACCGTCTGTTAATATAGATTCAGTTTTCCCATGCTGGGCAGCGTTCATATCTGTTCTGACCATCCTAATGCAACAGCTGGCATTACACTTACCTAACGACATAACCGTTGTAAAAAACAGTGGTACTTATTTTTATCAACCCAAAGCGATGAGCGAAATCAACACCCCCCCCCCCAAACCAGGAATTTTAAGTTTCAACGTGCCAATTACTGAGCCACAACATTGTAATGCTTTACAACGACACAAATTTCGATTTAAAGCTTTCGTGACTGCACGGATTCATCTTCTTGGTTCTTTCGGTAAAGTCACGTAGAATGGAAATAATAAAAAATTAACATCATAAAATAATGTATTTTATTTATAAAATAAAACATCATAAAATAATTTATTTTATTATGTTTTTTTTTATTATTTACATTCTATGTGACTTTACCGAAAGAACCAAGAAAACGACAAAAATGTCAAAACATCTGCGGTCCGATGCGTAAAACCGCTCGCATGCACGTTTCCCAGGAATTCCCCAGCAAAATCATTGGAACGGGAAAATCCTCACTAACGCAACCAAGCCATTGGCCAATAAATAAATGCAATGCGCACTCGGGCTGTCGTATATTATTATTTATACATGCACAGAGTGGGAAGAGAGAGACATACTGAACAGAAAGCTGCTTCATGGTTTTCACACGCACGTTTATGCTCGACACTAAACGCCTGCGATTGTAAGGGGCCGTCCATAAATGACGTCACGCGATTTTTGACCCCCCCCCCCTTCTTCACACGTCACAAAAAGTCAGACTCCCCCCCCCCCTCAAATATGACGTCTCAAAGCTCTGCCCCCCCCCCCCCAAAAAAAAAACCCATGCTTCAAATCGCTTTAAACTATTGTCATTGTAGTGCATATTTAATGTGGCGCTGCACTCTGTTGTAAGAGAAAACATTGATTAAAAAGTCTATTTAATTAAGTAGAACGTGTTGTCTATATTTAAAGTTGCGCATTTTGATATGACGTCACATTTTTTAAACCCCCCCCCCCCTTCGTCACACATCGTCACAAATGTCTGACCCCCCGCACCCCCCGCACCCCCCCCCCCCCCGAGGTGCGTGACGTCATTTATGGACGACCCCTAAGGCCCTAAAAGAGTTCGAGGCAATTCACACGGCACACCAGGCAGAACTGGGCATGCCCCGTGCTTGGCCCTACACGTGCCCGCTTACTGAAACAAGAGTGCGGAGTGGGTACAGAGGGTCCCTTATATACGTCGGGGTTTGGGACCGGAAAGTTGCGACTTATAACGAAACTTCCCCCCCCCCCCATAGGAATGCATGTTAATGGTGGGGGGGGGGGGGGTAGGGGCCTTAACAGCGTAAACATTGGCAATGCGACACAAAGTGGGGCAATTTCTCCCATAAGAAACAATGGATTGGGACCGGAGCTTATGGAAATATTGCGTTTCATACCGAGCATCCAAAATACGTACTTTACATGTATAGAAACAAAGGTACCGTACATGTACTGTACAGTACCTCTACTATACAACACATATTGTACACATTTATAACCAATTCTGAGTTCAAGAGCCGTGAAACAGTAAACAGCATTTATACTTTTCAAACACTAAATTGAAAACCATTTTTAGGAGCGTTTTGAAGCAGCCCTGTGTAACACTTTAAAAAGTTTCCCTTTTATAATACAAAACGTATTCGTGACATTTTTAAAGCAATGACTCAAAACATAAAACGGCTTGTGTTTAAAAAAGAAAGCACAGAGTCTTAAACGGCATGTTTAAAGAGACGTTAATAATATTCATGATCTTGACCTCGAAGAGTGGACGAGTTGAAGGGTTGCGACGATATTTTGCGATAAACATCCGCGCCGATTACAATGAGCACTCGTAGCTAGGCACGCGACAGAACGCGGTGGGACTGAGATGGCGGAGCATGCGCGCGTTGTGCAGTACATCTACGACCCCCCCCCCCCCCCAGACACACACAAAGCCAAGTTCAGCTTCGCCGAGTCGAAAATTATCATCGAAAACAATAATCGTCACTGGTGCTGTCGGTGAGCGGGAATCGATGTCGGATCACCGGGGCTCATCGCGCAGCGTAAGCACGGATCGCCACGCACCCCCCACGCACAATGTTTTGGACTCGGCTCAAACGGAGTCAAAAACGACGTACAAGCGGGGAAACGTTGCGTTCCTCAAAAAGCCAGCGATGTGAGTGCGAGACAACGTATATCGAGACGGCGCATATCGGGGACTCCCTGTACGATAGTACCCAGAGAAAGTTGGTCTCTTATTCATGACAATGTATTGTTGAATCTATATTCCTATCTTTAACCAAGGGGTGCCCCCAAAAACACATTTCAATGGAGACCGGGTGGAAGAGTTACAAAGAGACGGTTAATCATCGTTTTTAGTTGAAGGCAATGTTATAATAAGGGGGGAGAGGAGGGGGGGGTTATACTGGCAACGTGGCCTGGCTTTTGAAATGATTTCAAAATGTGTTTTAAGTCTGTTCCTTACAGCTTTGTTTCACATGATAACACTTGGGACAGCAGGGGGAACTGGACCATTGACCCAGTAGTAACTCGGTGGTAAGATGCTATCCAGCACCAGTTTACTCAATAAGCCTAATCAAGCAAAAGGCCAAAGTCTCTCCGCTGAAGCAATGGTCGGTGGTCATCTCTGTTCACAGATGTTAGCCAGTGGTGACATATCCACATTCACAGGACAATGCACATTGACTTCTTGCAACGTGGTACTAATTGAACAATTACGGAGAAAATGTAGCTGTTACCGGTGAGTAATAATAATGAGCGCGTTACACGCTTGTAATACATGACAATTTGATTAGTCGTGTTGGGTGGTGGAGGGTTTCATGACAAAAAACTTGGCAACATCATTACTTGGGCAAACCCAAACATTAATTATTAATAATATCAGCTGAGAAAACCTACATGTTAAGAGAACGTAATAACCGTTTTTAATGGGCAAACCAGGACGTATCGTTGGACATCTCTTTCCTTACACACATTATTAATTTTGGGTTGCCCCTTCCTCCAACCCACTTAGAGATGGTCTAGAGCTGTGGTGAATGAGGGGTCATAGATTCCCTCGGTGGGGGAGGAGCAGCCAGGGTCCGTACGGGGTGCTGAGGGGGGTGGGAGGGGGCGGTTTGCCTCTCCGACTGCTGCGTTTCCACGCCGATGCCCGCCCCGGCGACACGCCTGCACCGCCCCGGGGCCTAGGAGCCGGCCTCCGACTCCTGGCCCAGCGCCTCCAGCAAGAGCCCCATGGGTGTGCGCTTCAGGCCGATGTTCTCCATCTTGTTGCTGAGCTTGTTCTTGAGGTTGCGCAGACGCAGCGACGCGTGGATCAGCACCACTGGGGGGGGGGGGGGGGGGGGGGGGGGGGAAGGGTACACACGGAGCAGCACGGGGCGAGTAGTAGGTGCGCGCACTCACAGATTCATTCCCCCAATGCAGCCCTAAACAGATTGTAGGGACTAGTACTGTTATCACATATGCACATGGATAATATAACAAGACATCGCACATATAGCCTAAGACAGAATGCAGGGCCAAGCGCTGTTAGTATTAAGGTCAGCAAGGTGCACGAACGAGGGGGGGGGGGGGGGGGACAGGTGGCCAACACCACACCCAGATGCCTTGGTCTCCCTAACGGACCAGGTACTTATTTAAGGCTGGGTCAACCTAGGGAGAGCCCAGAGCCTGTTCCCATATCACTTAATGATGTTAGCTGGGAATCAAACTCAGGTCTCCAACCACTTTGCACTTTGCCACGAGTACAAATATTCCCCGTATAGCGTCAACAGACTGTTGGGTCAAGAGCTGTTCGCGAGCACCTACAAAGGCCAACACTGCACATGAGGGGGTGGGTGGCCAGTACCACATCGCACCAGGTAATGATTTCAGGTGAGTAAGCCGAGGGGAGGCCGAGTATTGGTTCAGATAATTATCACTGGTGTTGGTGGCCGTGAGTGGGGATCGAACTTGGGTCGGTGGGTTTGCAGCGCGCTAACCACAAACAGTCTTCAAGGCATGGCAGTTTCACTTGTTGAACCGCTCAGACACAAATGTAAACAAAAGCATAAATAGTAGTAGCTCTTCCTCAAATTTCACTCCTGAAACACTTCAGCTAGGTTGGTGGATAAGTGCTGTAGGTTGGTTTGCTGGTAGACAGCAGGATAACAAAGTGAGTAAGTAGGTAAATTAGTGAAGAAATAGGTTATGGGGAGGAATTCTAAAGCACAGTAGTGCTAGGAAAAAGCAGAGAAAAGTGCTGTGACCTGCAGTGTGGTGAGTGTGTGGGTTCGTGAGCCAGTGAGTGTTTGAGCGAGCGAGTGGGTTTTTGTGATCTGCAGTGCGGTGGTCGAATACAGTGTGGGTGAGACGAAACAGCCAGTCTGGTAGACCTCATCATGGGTGAAGGAATCAATTAATGAAATTCATGAGAGTAGGAGAGTGACTGACCGAGTGAGTCGGCGAGCGCTGGTTTATCAATAAACCCGACTGCTTTACGGGGATCGATTAGTGCCGTTCTTTCGCTATGCGAGTTATGGTGCTCACAGAGTAGCGGGAAGGTGATGCCGAAGACAAAGACCAGGATTCCTCCGAGCAGGTGCAGCATCATGCCGCTGGCCACGAGCACCGCACACACCGCCAAGCCCGGTCGGTTGCGCTTGAAGCGGCGCACGGTGGTGCGGTTCTCCGAGGCCAGGACAAAGGCCAGGAAGACGATGGCCACCACCGCCCCACCGATCATCATCTCTAGGGGACGTATGTACCTGCGTGCCCGGCAGGAAAAACAAAACACAGAGCTGGTATCTTCTTGGTTCTTTCGGTAAAGTCACGTAGAAGGGAAGTAATGAAATAATAAAAATAAAACATAATAAAATAATTATCACGACGTTTCAGCCACAACGCAAGCAGCCGTCCTCAGGTGAAGACCAGGTCTGTTGGGGAGACAGCGTCTGAATGAAACACCACCACGCTTGGAGCGTATATTTAAGCTGGGTTGGAAGGGGGGAAGGCCGCCTTGACAAAATAATTCGCACATCAAGAGGAATTTAGCATATTTATGGGAAATGCAGGAATGTGATTAGTACTACTTGTGAAATGCGTAGGAGGTGGGCGGGGGGTTTTCAAAGTCATATTATGCCCGTGCATTATGTAGGATTAGCAGCCTCAAAGGGAGGGGATAGGGGTAGCATTAATAAAAAAAAAGAGCTGGTATTGTATTTATTCATTATTCATCCAAAGCAGAGGGCTGATTGAACTGTAATCGTCCAGAGGCGATTGTCAGTGTTCTTTGTATTTAAAAGATGGTAAAGGTGCAACCCTGCAATTGCTCACACCACTGCTGGTGAAAGGGCTTTTACTTTGAGGTCCTCAAGAGGGGGGATGCCGCTCATCTCTGCTGGTGGCGGCCGAGACAGAAGTGAAAATTACATAATTCTGTAGGCGGCGGATGGGGCAATGTTTCTGGAAAGAATAAATGTCGAATCTTGATTTGAAGCTTTCGTGACTGCAGGAATCCATACTCTTTGGTTTTTTCGGTAAAGTCACGTGGGTAGAAAATAAAATAAAAATAAATCTCGACGTTTCGGGCGCAACACAAGCGTCCAGCTCTGTGTTTTCCCACCTGATGACGGACGCTTGTGTTGCGCCAGAAACGTCGCGATATATTTTTATTTATTTATACCTACGTGACTTTACCGAAAGAACCAAAGAGTAATAAACGTTGACTTTCTACAAAAAACTACTCGTTTTATTGTCTCAAGATGAATGAAAGGTTGAGTTGATCCTCCGACCAGCAGTTGAACTCGTGACTTCTCCGATTGCGAGTGAAACGCTATTACCACAGCACCACCTGTCCGGATGATTAAAAAAAACGAGCTATGATTAACACTCTGGCTTAACTGAGAGTATTCTGCCCGCCTGACAACTGTTCGTCTAAATTGTTCAATTCTACAAGGATTTGGATGAGAGCAGCTGTTAATGGCCAGTGCTAAAAATACACAGACTGGTAAATGTCCACTCAATACAGAGAACCAAATAAAGCCTTAAAAAGATTATGCATAGCCTCCTTACACATTACAATACTTTTTGTCGGCACATACAAATTATGGTCAATGTTTAAGGAATGTATTTACATTGAATACTTTTAGGGTATGTATCGCAAGCATTAGAATAAAAAACAAGGTTAAGAGTGAATAATTGTTTTAAAAAATTCACCTCATAGTTTACATCCTCCCTAATGGACACAATTCCAAAAGATCGATAATTCAATTACCGGAGCTCCTCTGTAATATCTGCACTGACAAACTACACCACGCTTGTTGCAAAGGAACATGTGACAACATCTGTGTCAGTAGGCGATATCATATATAGTATCCGAAATCCCATATTTCCACATCATTCTCGACTAAATTGCTAAACGCATACAGTATCTATATATAGACAGTATCTACATCTACATAGCCAATAAATGAAATCTATATTTTAGATAAAGCAAAACAATAATTGAGAATAGGTTTTCCCCCTTTTTTCTGGCAACAAAACAGGTGCTAAGATGTTAAAACGCCAAACTGAAACATTTTACAAGGAATGTCTGCATCAACCACAATACTTGTGTTCAGAGTGCAAACAAAAAACACTGATAATATATGCATTGTCTTTGAAACTGATTGGTCCACGCCAGAGACAGCTTTCTTTTGAGCCTCGTCTCAAATTGTGTTAGACCAGAGGACGCCAAAAGGCGCCTTTTGGCGTACTCTGGTGAAGGTGTATTGCCTGATTATTTACTTGTTCCAAAAGAATGTCGCTCTTGCAAAAAAGAAAATCGATCTCCATGTGCGCTCATCCGATTAAATAAAGGTCGGTGAATTCAATTTGGAGTGACAGCATCTCATTTAACTCATGCCGCTTCAACATGCAATACATCGTTGAGATTAAGTGCTTGCAGAACCGCAATATGTCAGAGTTACTGCACAACTTGTCTCCGATTACCTCTCAAACTGTAAAATAGCGGCAATTAAAAATAAAAGGGTCACTGTTTCCTATTGTTCTTACATTTAGGGGAAGATCTTTATAAAACAAATATGCAGAATGCTGTGTCTGGTGAGACTTTAGACAACCTGACTCGGAGACAGACCAGTCTCTGAAGAAATAGAAACAGACTTAACAATGAAATTGCTCTACATTGGGATATTTTATTATACAAATAAACGGATGGATCGATATCTCATGGGATTATGACGCAAGAGGGCTGATTTACAGTACTTCCCATTGTTACTGGGGTCTCTTAAAAACCAAGACTGGCAGCTACTATCGGATTTTGGGGCCCTCTTAAGGCAATGGTCTCAACTCTGCGAGACATTCTTAAAAGTCGTGATTATTCAACGCATTGTTCAACGCACACTCGCGTGTAAAATTCCGTGTCACACTCGAGAAAACAAGCCGACGTGAATGCAGCTTTAGATACTTTTCAGTGTGTAGGCACTCAACAAATAACAATGTATAAATTTGAGGGTGAATGGCTATTGGCGTTATTGCAAATCTGACCGCGTCAACCACAGCCACACCCATCGATTCACTCAAACCGCAGCCGTTAGTAAACCCACGCAAGTTCACCGTACGATACTTTACCACGAGCAAAATAACAATAAAAACATTGACAAATCAAACGCCCGTAATTACTTAACAATCATCGTTAAACAACACCGACTCGGGTGGCGGGTCGTGGCCCGCCTCATCCCCGGCGCAACCCGCCTCATCTCCGGCGCAACCCCTCCAGGCAAGACCGAGGCTGCGCCACCCCGTAAAAGTAGGCCTAGGCCGCGCCGGACTCACCCGACCAGCAGCATGACGGCCACGATGGAGGCGGCGTAGTTGCTCTGGTAGTACAGCAGGTTGTTGATGATCCTGTTGTTCCACCTCGCCGGGTCGTTCATGTCCGGCGCCCCGAATCGCGCTACGCCGAGGACGAAATCGTCCGCTGCTCGGAACGGCGGGAAGCGCACGTCCGCCATGATGGGTGAGGAGGAGGTTGTGGTCACGTGAGCTCGCGGTTCTTGCGTTTCAATACAAACAAAAGACAAAGATGCCCTCCCCCACCGGTGTAGCCTTACACAGAGTGTCGGGGCAAGTGCTGTTCGCGAGCAGTAGCTATGAAGGCCGGGATTTGTGTGGCATGTGACGCGGGGGGTTGGGGGGGGCGTCCATAAATGACGTCACGCTATTTTGGACAATTTTTGACCCCCCCCTCCCTTGACCCCCCCCCTCGTCACACGGCGTCACAAAAAGTCAGACCCCCCCCCTCAAATATGACGTCACAAAGCTCTGCCCCCCCCCCAAAAACCATATTTGCATTTTGAAAAAAAAACATGCTTCAAATCGCTTGAAACTATTGTCATTGTAGTGCGTATTTAATGTGGCGCTGCACTCTGATGTCGTAGGAGTGTTGTTATAACAATTAGTGTTGTTATAACAATTCCATATTTATTTAAAGTTGCGCATTTTGATGTGACGTCACATTTCTCCCCCCCCCCCTTCCTCACACATCGTCACAAATGTCTGACCCCCCTCCCCCCCAGGTGCGTGACGTCATTTATGGACGTCATTTATGGACGGCCCCTTGGGTGTGCCAGCACCACGCCCGGCCGCCTTTGTCTCCCCCGGTGGCGATGTTTACACGCCGCGCCAGGTGCTCGTTTGAGGCTGCATCGACCGAGGAGTGGAGGCTCAGGACCGGTGCAGATGCTCGTCACTGGTGGTGTTGGTGGCCGTGAGCGGGAATCGAACTCGGGTCGCCGGGTTCGTAGCGTAGCGTAGCGCTAACCGCTGCGCCACCACTCCCCGCACACACAAAAAACTCCACCATTGTGCCAACAAAAACATCAGCGGTGCCTGAAGTACTTGCATCATTCGTACTCTTTTGTCTTAGGTTAACACCCAAAATAAAACACATTCCTGCGGAGGGAGCTGGTAGGAACGTTGGATTGCTCGGTCAATGGCCAGGGTCAACGGCGGCGTGGTGTATTCCGCAAATATGCCCGACTGTGAGGGCGGGCACAAGCCGGCGTGAGTAGGTTAAACGTTGAGTTTTATAAGGGCACCACGGGGTGACCAGCCCCTCCCCTCCCAGCCCCACCCCACCCAGCCCCACCCAGCCCCTCCCCACCCTCCCCACCCAGCCTCTCCCCACCCTCCCCTCTCCACCCAGCCCCACCCCTCCCATTATTGGATGCACCACGGACGGACACAATAATCCCCTGTGGGCTGGTGTAACCAGGAGGTTCCTACCAGTAACAGATCATTCGCAGGAGTGATCACGTGTGAAGCTGCAGCATCATGTATGTATATGTGAACATTGCATTGTTCAACAGACGCACCAAGACTTTGTAAATAAATTTCAAATAGTTTTACAACTGTGATTCCATCTCTCTGTGTTATGTTACATGTATATCCGCATTTGTGGTGTTATGTGTGTTTGTGCAAGTGTGTATCTTATCTTTATTAGATTTACATAGTGCCTTTAAAAAGGCACTTTACAGCAATTATAAAATTGTACGTAGCATAACAATAATTTTAATTAATAAATAAATTGGGTTATTATACATGCTGTAGTTTTGATGCAGCAAAGCAAGATTTATTGATAAAGAGGGGTTGGGATAGGCCTGCTCATAGGTGGTGACAGAAAGCTGTGGGGTTCAAAGGTCGTCAGCCAACATTGCATTGGAAAGACAAAGGGGGCGGCGAGGGACTGGAGCCACGTGGGAAGAGGGGGCCATGGCGATGGAGTCCCCCGCACCACCGACAATGTCCATGCAGTGCAGCGGCCGGGCCCACGACAAGAACCCGCAGCCTCGGTCCGGCTCGTTTGCCACGAACGCGAAGCTTCCCTCCGTGCCTGGCATGCTGACATGGTGAGGACTCCCCCGGCAGGAGCTCGACCTCCCGTCCTTGGGACCGCACAAAGCACCGATGTCCAGCCACGTGGCCCGGAAAAGGAGCCACCAGACGCTTGTAACGGAGCGGCCCACCGGTTTCGCCGGATGGCGCGGAAGTCGCACGGTGCCAGCGATGCCCGGTGGGCCACCAAGTAGAAACGCCCAGTGGGCGCGGGACAAGCAGGAGAGGTGGTCGGAGACCGGCGCTAACAGCACTTGCCCAAACAGTCTGTTAAAGCTATACAGGGGATCTTTGTGTTATGCGTCTGTATGTGGGTTGAGGTATGAGAATATGTTTTCCCCTTTTCACTGGCAACAAAACAGGTGTTAGGATGTTAGAACACCAAACTGAAACGTTTAACAAGGAATCGCGTCTGAAACCTTGCCCCAACAATCTGTTTTGGCTAAACGAGGGATCATTAACTTTGTGAAGGGTTGAATAAGGGAGCAGGGAGGGGTTGTCGGGGAAGGGGGTTGCTGTTCACGACTATTTACGCTTCTTTCTAAATCTAAATTTTGGCATTTTTTTCTTGAAAGTCGCCTTGAATTTGCTGTGCAGTTTCTTTGCTTGCGCTCTCTTATTTCCCAGGAATTTCTTGAACTTTTCTTTCTTTTTGCCTGCAAGGAGACAGATCACGTTTAAATTAGCAGTGAGCAGGGGAGAGTGGCCTCTTCACCGAGGGCCACACAGAGTCGGAGCAGAACCACGATGCCACCCGGCATTTCGCAGTGAGCCTACGCCGGAACACATCCTTGACAGTGCCATGCATTGGCCCCTTGGAACTGAGCAGCTAATGTGGCAGGAAAAATACAAGAATTTGAAGCCACGACCAACTTCGTGGTTTCAAGTGTACATTGCGTGATATCCTAACCTGTATCACACCCTGTGTTATATAGCATGTTCCCAGGGGAGATGGCACAGACAGGACTGGTACTTATGAAGCCACTTCAGTGGGTGTCTTTATCCACAACAGGCAAAAATCTACACCATGGGAACCTCCTCTTCTTGGTTCTTTCGGTAAAGTCACGTAGAAGGGAAGTAATAAAATAATAAAAATAAAACATAATATTATTTTATTACTTCCCTTCTACGTGACTTTACCGAAAGAACCAAGAAGATGAATCCCTGCAGTCACGAAAGCTTTAAATCATGGGAACCTCATTTGCCAGTAAAAATATGATAATTGGTTTTTTACCCTTCTATCTGGCAACAAAACTGACACCTTTTTACAAGGAGTCATGTTTGCATAGACCACAATACCTGCAGTCATAATGCAAACAAAAAACATAACTCTGATAATGTGCACTGCCCTTGAAGTTGATTGGTCCACACCCGAGACAGCTTTCCTTAGAGCCTAGTCTCACATGGGTTGTCGTCATCTGGTCCATAGAACAGAGATCCAGGTGCCATCGATTGTCTGAGATGTAGCTATGTTGAACTTCTTTGTACCATACATAGCCAACCGTGCTAATCGGAGGTGTGAGATGACTGGTAGATGCACATACACACTTCTCTCACCTGACTTCACGTTCTTCTCCTTATGGTGCGTCTTGTTGTCGTCATCACCACCGCCATCTGTGCCGCCGCTGGACCCTGGCTCAGGCTTCAGGCTTTGCATCAAGGTAGTGAGCGTCTCCATGAACCACCCGCCTGGTGCAACGTGTTCTTCTCCTCCTCCTTCTCCTCCTTCTTCTCCTTCTTCATCCACGGGCCTTGGCTGCGGCATTACGTATTGGTAAATTGCCCTGAGGGCTCGTGAGATGTCGCTCCCGAGTGACGGTGGCGCGTCTTCTTCGTCACCGTTCATGACATTGGCCTCGCCACCGTCATCTGCAGGCTGTGCTGGAGGAAGGCTACCACAGAAAGTGCAGAAGAGAAGCAGGAGAAAATTTCGATTTAAAGCTTTCGTGACTGCAGGGATTCATCTTCTGGGTTCTTTCGGTAAAGTCACGTAGAAGGAAAATAATAAAATAATACAAATAAAACATAATAGAATAATTCTCACGACGTTTCGGCCACAATGCAAGTAGCCGTCCTCAGGTGAAGAAACAGGTCTGTCGAGAAGACAGCATTCAGACGCTGTCTTTCCGACAGACCTGTTTCTTCACCTGAGGACGGATACTTGCGTTGTGGCCGAAACATCGTGAGAATGATTTCATTATGTTTTATTTTTATTATTTTATTATTTTCCTTCTACGTGACTTTACCGAAAGAACCAAGAAGATGTGAAAGGTTGCCCTGCTAGGATGCAGTGCACGTGGATTGTGCAGTGTTCATCATGGGCTCCTAGACTCCTGCACCGTGCTCTTATCTTCCTACATCAGGGGTTGGCGTTCGAAATAACAAGAACCATTTTTTTTATTCGGATTAAAAAAAACTTTTCAATATTTCAACAGCCGTAATGCACTGCGGTGAATACGAGATAATTTTAAATGAAAAAAAAACGTCACGAAGCAACCCTTGAAGAGCCGCATGCTACTCTGGAGTCACAGGTTGCAGACCCCCGTCCTAGCTCCTACTACACACACACCTAGACATTGTCTCACAAAGCTTCGCGTGCATTTGAAGCTTATTTAATAATTTATTCATTACTGCTTGGTGGTGGCTGCTTGGTGTCGAGATATGTTCGTGTGAACTAGCACTGCTGAGATTTTTTTACCGCACGTAAAAAAACTGAGCTGAGAAGTGCATTGATTTCGGTTAAATCCGAGCTGTGAGAGTCACGTGGTGGACGTTACTCTGTCAAAGCGGATGGGGAATTTTTGTCCCATGGTATACATATGAGGTCACTTGAAGCGAGTTCCGTAGTCGTGTGATATGTTTCCATGGACCATTGTCTAAGATTTGTGATGCTGCCTTGCAAGAATGTGATTTTGGATGCGTTATTCATTTCAAAACGTGACACTGATTTTACAGAAGTTCAACGTACCATCAAATAAAACGCGTGCTAAACTACCAAGGACACGCTGATTAGTTGTGTAGCTACAAGAGCTGTTTGTGTTTCGTTTTTCTTCAAGTTACTTTAACATGAAGGGCTTACCCTCGACTCCAAACATTCTACAATTATGTTTGACATGGAAGGGAGTCGGTTTACATGGAAACAATGGCAAAGAGCGGTCGATTTTAAGAAACATGTGCTCCCTGTAGCAATTTTACCCTCATCATCATCACACTCACCTCATGTAACGCCAGTATAGAAGCCTTGCACCAGCACACAGGGCGATCAGCCCAATGGAACTCAGGACGGACAACATCACAATCTTGTAGACTGCGTCCACACACAAGGGAGAGCAAACGTATTCAATAAGTTATCTCCAGCAAATTATCAACAAGGGTGACTCACATTCCTAATTAGTAAGGGTTATGGACAGTAATAAAACTGCTCAACCTCAGTTATTAATGCTTTAATATTTGCATTCCTTTCGTGTTGTTCGCCTTTTGGCATTCTCCGGTCTAACACTCGTGAGACAAGGCCATACAGGAGGCCATCTCTGGTGTAGGCCAATTAGTTTCAAGAATAACACATTCATACTTTTCGATTTAAAGCTTTCGTGACTGCAGGGATTCATCTTCTTGGTTCTTTCGGTAAAGTCACGTAGAATGGAAATAAAATAATAAAATAAAACATAATAAAATAATTCTCACGACGTTTCGGCCACAACGTTGTCTCCCCGACAGACCCGTTCTTCACCTGAGGACGGCTGCTTGCGTTGTGGCCGAAACGTCGTGAGAATAATTCTATTATGTTTTATTTTATTATTTTATTATTTCCATTCTACGTGACTTTACCGAATTGAACCAAGAAGACATTCATACTCTTTGGTTGTTTCGGTAAAGTCACGTAGTTAGAAACAAAATAAAACAAATCACGACGTTTCGATCGCAACACAAACGGTTGTCATGAGGCAAAGGAGTCAGCCTCTAAAGGCATATCTGCCGGATACTCATCTATTTCTAGATTTGAAGCTTTCGTGACTGCAAGGATTCATACTCTTAGTTCTTTCGGTAAAGTCACGTAGGTAAAAATATGAAATTAAAATTAATACAAAATAAAACAATAAAATCACGACGTAGACGGAGACTTGTGTTGCCTCCGAAACGTCGTGATTTTATTGTTTTATTTTTATTAATTTTAATTTCATTTTTTACCTACGTGACTTTACCAAAAGAACTAAGAGTACTAATCTATTTATCCGAGTTAACTTCCCCCCGCATCCCCAGCGTTTGGCATTGTTGTTGCATTGGCATTGTTGCTGCATTGGCATTGCTGTTGCATTGGCATTGGTGCTGCATTGGCATTGGTGCTGCATTGGCATTGCTGCTGCATTGGCATTGCTGCTGCATTGGCATTGTTGCTGCATTGGCATTGTTTCTGCATTGGCATTGTTGCTGCATTGGCATTGGTGCTGCATTGGCATTGCTGCTGCATTGGCATTGCTGCTGCATTGGCATTGTTGCTGCATTGGCATTGTTTCTGCATTGGCATTGTTGCTGCATTGGCATTGTTGCTGCATTGGCATTGTTGCTGCATTGGCATTGTTGCTGCATTGGCATTGTTGCTGCATTGGCATTGTTGCTGCATTAGCATTGTTGCTGCATTGGCATTGTTGCTGCATTAGCATTGTTGCTGCATTGGCATTGTTGCTGCATTGGCATTGTTGCTGCATTGGCATTGTTGCTGCATTGGCATTGTTGCTGCATTGGCATTGTTGCTGCATTGGTATTGTTGCTGCATTGGCATTGCTGTTGCATTGGCATTGTTGCTGCATTGGCATTGTTGCTGCATTGGCATTGTTGCTGCATTAGCATTGTTGCTGCATTGGCATTGTTGCTGCATTAGCATTGTTGCTGCATTGGCATTGTTGCTGCATTGGCATTGTTGCTGCATTGGCATTGTTGCTGCATTGGCATTGTTGCTGCATTGGCATTGTTGCTGCATTGGTATTGTTGCTGCATTGGCATTGCTGTTGCATTGGCATTGTTGCTGCATTGGCATTGGTGCTGCATTGGCATTGCTGCTGCATTGGCATTGTTGCTGCATTGGCATTGCTGCTGCATTGGCATTGCTGCTGCATTGGCATTGTTGCTGCATTGGCATTGTTGCTGCATTGGCATTGTTGCTTCATTGGCATTGTTGCTGCATTGGCATTGTTGCTTCATTGGCATTGTTGCTGCATTGGCATTGTTGCTGCATTGGCATTGTTGCTTTCATTGGCATTGTTGCTGCATTGGCATTGTTGCTGCATGGCATTGTTGCTGCATTGGCATTGTTGCTTCATTGGCATTGTTGCTGCATTGGCATTGTTGCTGCATTGGCATTGTTGCTTCATTGGCATTGTTGCTGCATTGGCATTGTTGCTGCATTGGCATTGTTGCTTCATTGGCATTGTTGCTTCATTGGCATTGTTGCTTCATTGGCATTGTTGCTGCATTGGCATTGTTGCTGCATTGGCATTGTTGCTTCATTGGCATTGTTGCTGCATTGGCATTGTTGCTGCATTGGCATTGTTGCTTCATTGGCATTGTTGCTGCATTGGCATTGTTGCTTCATTGGCATTGTTGCTTCATTGGCATTGTTGCTGCATTGGCATTGTTGCTGCATTGGCATTGTTGCTACATTGGCATTGCTGCTGCATTGGCATTGTTGCTTCATTGGCATTGTTGCTTCATTGGCATTGTTGCTGCATTGGCATTGTTGCTGCATTGGCATTGTTGCTTCATTGGCATTGTTGCTGCATTGGCATTGTTGCTGCATTGGCATTGCTGCTGCATTGGCATTGTTGCTACATTGGCATTGCTGCTGCATTGGCACTCGTGCACCGCCCATGCTGTTGGTGCTGCTCACACACTTGGGCTACACCCATCTCCAAAACCTTTATAAACAGTTTGCCTTTAGAGGCTGACTCCTTTGCCTGATGACGACCACTTGTGTTGCGATCGAAACGTCGTAATTTGTTTAATTTAATTTAATTTCTACCTACATGACTTTACCGAAAGAACCAAAGAGTATGGATTCCTGCAGTCACGAAAACTTCAAATCAAGAGAATACATTCATACTGGTAGGAACCCACTGATTTCACCAGCCCACAGGGGATTATTGCGTCCGTCCGTCGTGCAGGAAGGGGCTGGGTGGGGAGGGAGGGGCTGGGTGGGGAGGGGAGGGTGGGGAGGGGCTGGGTAGGGAGGGTGGGGCTGGGTGGGGAGGGGAGGGTGGGGAGGGGCTGGGTGGGGGGGTGGGAGGGATGGGGCTGGGTGGGGAGGGGCTGGTCACCCCGTGGTGCCCTTATAAAACTCAACGTTTAACCTACTCACGCCGGCTTGTGCCCGCCCTCACAGTCAGGCATATTTTCGGAATACACCACGCCGCCGTTGACCCTGCAGGCCATTGACCGAGCAACCCAACGTTCCTACCAGCTCCCTCCGCAGGACAATGTGTTTATCGAAGCATGTTCGTTTGCATGTTTTACCACAAACATGTGCGGTTAATGCAGACTTGATGCCATGCAATGGGTGTGTATTTGGTGTTAGAAAACCTTAACACTTCCTATATTATTGCAGGAAAGGGTGAAGCCTATTCTTTTTGAATCGCTAGCGACAAAGCGATGGTTTACAGTCAGAACGATGTTTAGCATTGCACAGGGCTTGGAGTTAAGGCGAGAGGGATAACAATCATAAGATTGTTACCTGAAGATTTGCGGGCTACGTCGGGTGCTTTAGGGATGGCAGTCGTGCTGGTCGGAGGGGGAGTTGTCGTCGTTTTCGCGCCGCGCATCCGCTGGATCCAGCCGGACATTCCCATCGCCGGCTCCACTCCTGAACGACCGACCAAAAGAACCAACGTGTCACGATGGCAAAATCATCACATACCCATCCCTATGTGTATGACACCAAACCTTTCACTGGCCTTGATTCCACGGAAGCCTCTGCGCTCAAAAGGCTCTCGGAGTACGGCCGAAGAGCCTCGCTGCAGATTTCGGGACCGTTTTTAACCTTGAAATGAGCCAAGCAGGGAAACTGTAGGAGAGCGATTTGAAATGTAGTCCAACAAAGAAGTAATGAAGGCATGGATGAGAGTCTCAGAATACAGTAGAACCGCGGAGATCGAACGCACCAGAACTCGAACAAATCGGTGTTCGAACGATATTTGCGAACATTTTTTTTCCCGGAAACCGAACGAAATTCGGAGGTCGAACGGACCAATCGCGACTTGAAAGAAGCTGTACGGCTGAGACGCGTATGGCCATCGTGCATGATGCTTGCCCAGACTAAGGTATTACCACATCCTCCTCACCACCTTCCACTCAAGCCATGAACTCTCCTTACTACAGGTAAAGTGAAGTTCAATGTTCATTTATTTCATTTATTCCATTTATTTATTGTGTTTCTTGTTTTTTGTATGATTTTATACATGAAATTACTGTAAACTTCGTGTAGAAATGCTTTATAATGATAGATTTCTTGATTTCTCAATCATCATCAGGTGAGAAAACCACAGCAAGAAATTTTCATGATGTGGATTTCACACCTGATGATGATTGCTTGTGTTGCAATCGAAACGTCGTGAGAATTTTATTGTTTTATATTTTGTTTCCCTTCTACGTGACTTTACCGACAGAACCAAGAATATGAATCCCTGCAGTCACGAAAGCTTTAAATCAAAATATTGTATTTGTATATATTTCTAAGTGAATTGTTATTTATCCAATACTCTGCACTCTTATCGTGTTTTTGTATTGTTTGTTGTTGGAACGTTCCGACCTCCCCAAAACTGGAGATCTGTGAAAAACAGCTGTGTAGCTCATTGGATTCATCCAGTATAAATTAATATTCTGATTCTTATAATTTATAGGTTCAGCAGATGCACATGTGACTTGGAAACTTTGTCAAACAGGCTTTTGTTTTACCAATTTGAAGGACCTCAACCTACGTCCGTATTTACCAGCATCAACATTGCTCCTATCGCATCACAACCACTACCACCAACAAAACCCATCATTGAAACAACCACCACGGCACGAACACCATCCCAGTCGCCACAAGCCAACCACGAGGACTACAAGGCAACCAAAGAGCATTGTCATCAACGCCATCTCCTGCATCACGATATCCACCAACAAAGAACAAACAAGCCAACCACGAGGACTACAAGGCAACCAAAGAGCATCGCCATCAACGCCATCTCCTGCATCACGATATCCACCAACAAAGAACAAACAAGCCAACCACGAGGACTACAAGGCAACCAAAGAGCATCGCCATCAACGCCATCTCCTGCATCACGATATCCACCAACAAAGAACAAACAAAGACAAAGACCCCTCAGAAAGCCTTAACAAATTTACACCATTGGAACCTCATTTGCCAGTAAAAATATGATAATTGGTTTTTTACTCTTCTATCTGGCAACAAAAAAAACGTGTCAGTTTTGTTGCCAGATAGAAGGGTAAAAACCAATTACCTTCACAAATTGTTGAGGCAAGTGCTGTAAGCAAGCAACTATGAGGCCCAACACGGTACACGAGGGGTGGGTGGTCAGCACCATGCTCGACCACCTTTGTCTCCCCAGTGGCGATGTTTGCACACCACACACCAGGTCGAGTCCACACGTGAGGTTGAGTCGACTTCGGAGAGGACCACGAACGGTTCGGATAATCATCACCGGTGTTGGCCGTGAGTAGAAATCGAACTCGGGTCGCTGGGTTCATATCGCAGCGCGCTAACCACTGCGCCACTGCTGCCCACATCCACCAACAATGCCACTAAATTTCGATTTAAAGCTTTCGTGACTGCAGGGATTCATCTTCTTGGTTCTTTCGGTAAAGTCACGTAGAAGGGAAATAATAAAATAATATTTTTATTATTTTATTTTTATTATTTTGTTTCCCTTCTACGTGACTTTACCGAAAGAACCAAGAAGATGAATGCCACTAATGTCATCACCAACGCACGTGTAGAGCCCTAGCGGAGCCCAGTGGATCCCTGGTTGAACTCCTATGGATCGTTATTTATCACTCCTGGATCTCTTACCCTCGGGCGCACTGATGCTGTTTTTGGACTTTACGGGCTTTGCAGCCGAAAGCTGGAACCCCGCAAGAAGCAGCAGCAGCAGTTTGAAGAACTTGAACTCCATGGCGAAGCAGTTGTAGTAAGTGGATATCCTGGAGCTAGAACTTAGCGTTGTTTGTCAGGAGCTTTAAACGTGGAGCGTCGACCAGACGTCACGGCCTCGAGGTGTGTGACGTCACTACAGGTCTATGACAACTTATTGACGGTGGGCGGAGCCAGGCGAGTGGGCGGAGCCAGGCGAGTGGGCGGAGCCAAGCGAGTGGGCGGAGCCAGGCGGCAGTTGAGAGCGGGAGGGGGGACTGAAGGAAATCCAGACTTTGGAACAGTTTATAATAATTGTATTTACTCTTTGGTTCTTTCGGTAAAGTCACGTAGAAAATAAGTAAATTAAAGAAAATTAATTTAATATTAATAAAATATTAAATAAATACATTTATGTCATAAAAAATATTGTTTTAATATTAATTAAATATTAAATACATATTATTTTTCTATTTAAAGCGTTCGTGACTGCAATGATTCATGTTCTTGGTTCTTTCGGTAAAGTCACGTAGAAGGTAATTAATACAATAATAAAAATACAATTATTTCCCTTCTACGTGACTTTACCGAAAAAACCAAGAATACATATTATTTAATTTTTAACTAATATTGAATCGTATTATTTAATATGAATTAAATATAAATTAAATATTAAATATATATTATTAAATATGTAATTAATATTAAATACATATTATTATTTTTTTCTCTTTCTACGTGACTTTACCGAAAGAACCAAAGAGTAAGTCCTGCATTAACGAAAACTCCAAATCAAATTGTATTTCCCTCGCCTGTATTTAATTTCACATATAATGTGTCACTTGTCATTTCATCTAATTTATTTTTAATTAATTTAACGCGCATCTCCTTGCTTTGCGTGTGTTGGGCGGAGGGAATTGCTTTGCATTGAGAGCGGCGACCAGTTTGGTAACGGACCCGGGTTGACTGTTGAGACCACGTGACCCGGTTTTGTTAATAATGGAACCCGAGTTGCCAACCATTCCGGATTTTACGGGAATCTTCCGGAATTTTTTTTTATTGATCTTCTGGTGGCGATTGCAAAACAATCCAATATATATTCTTGGTTCTTTCGGTAAAATCACTAGAAGGGAAATAATAAAATAGTACAAATATTAAACAATAAAAATTTGCACGTTTCGACTGCAACACAAGCAATCATCATCAGGTGTGAAATCCACAGCAAGAAATTTTGAAAAATTTCCCTTCTACGTGACTTTACCGAAAGAACCAAGAATATGAATCCCTGCAGTCACGAAAACTTTAAATCAAAATTTAAAATCCAATATATCTTAATTGTGTGAGGTTTTCACGAAATAAATTAATTTGACAAAAATCTTCTGAAGTAGCTTAGGCCAGATTTGGCAACCCGAAGTGGACCGGGTGGCAACACGACCATAAAACAGTGACACGATATGAAGTTATAGACTGTAGTTACCGCACGGCTGTTACTGCACCGTTACAGCAGAACGAGACTGATGGGTGTTGGCGGCGTAAATCAAGTTTCAGTGTCGTAAATCGACCCGTGTTGACGTCATACAAACGTCGTAAATGTGGATCGTTGGAAATCGTACCGTCGTAAACCAGAGACCAGCAGTGCTGTATAATTGTTTTTTATTTAAACGGAATTCATGATAATTAACGTTACACTAGAATACAGTATTTTTTCTTTAACTCCTCTATACCCGGTCGATATCCCTGTACCGGTACTAAGTATTATTCCTACCAGCCCACCCCGCAGGGTCCTGTTATTTAAACGGAATTCATGAAAAGGAACGCTGTAATGTATAGTCCTGTGAAATGTATTAAAAAGTGTGTAAGTATGTGCATGCACGAGTATAAATATGTGCGTGTATGTTGCGTGTAAGTTTGGAGGCGATGGTAGGAGGCTGCAAGGCTCGGCCGCATCGTAAAAATGTGACAACCATAACAAACATGAAAAAAACGTCTACGAAAAATGTAATGAAAAGAACAAAGTCATTTAATCAAAAGATAAACGTATTACAATTATTTAAAAAGGATTAAAATATTACAAGTTCAAAAACACTGTCATTCAGTAGTACAATGTGCCAGCCAAGTCAACCAGGAACGAGTCTGTGCAATCTGTGTTCATGTATTTATTTCTAATGTAGCCTTTGAGAAAAAAAATCATCCATAATGTTGCCCACTCATATTTCAGAGGCTTAGCAGGTTTGATCCTGGCTATTGCCTGGCATGGGTGACCAACCCATGCGCAACCAGCTACGGGTTCGTGACTGCAGGGATTCATCGTCTTGGTTCTTTCGGTAAAGTCACGTAGAAGGGGAACAATAAAATAATAAAATATAAAACAATAAAATTCTCACGACGTTTCGATTGCAACGCAAGCAATCATCATCAGGTGTGAAAACCACAGCAAGAAATAAACGCACTTTTTTCTAATTTTCTTACTGTGGTTTTCACACCTGATGATGATGATGATTGCTTGTGTTGCAATCGAAACGTCGTGAGAATTTTATTGTTTTATATTTTATTATTGTATTGTTTCCCTTCTACGTGACTTTACCGAAAGAACCAAGAAGATGATGATTATGTTGTTGTTGTTGTTGTGTCACGATGTCCCCTCTTGTGTTGCACCACCAGCAGCAGCAGGAGCCTGGCTGGAGCTGCGCTCGCGTGAGTCCGCCCCGGGCGGCGAGGGGAGGGCGGCCTTCACTTCGGGGCGTCCCATCACCTCGCGGATCCACGGCACAAACCGCGACACCTTCGATAGAATCAGAACATTTATGCTGGAGGAATCCGGTGAGCCGTGAAGCTCTTTTTCACAGGTGTCCAGTTAGGCGCGGGCACGAATGTTACAACAGCAGTACAACAACTCGATGGTCGTGCAAAGTACAAGAAAAGTAAACGAATCGCCCAAACACAAACAAATACAACACTAAACCATCCGCATCCTACCAGGCAAATGCCCACTGAAGTATGAACATGCATCATGGCATGGTGAAGTATGGTCAAACCACCCTGATGACTTACACGGAGTGTAGAATCTTTCATGCAGCAGTGGACTGACTCAGTGCTGAAGAGTATTGTTATTGTAATAGGTTTTAACCCTTTTAACTGGTACAAAATCTGACACCTTTATTGTACCAGTTAAAAGGGTAAAACCCTATTACTATACAGTATTTTGCCACTGGTAAAGGAGATCTCATAGAGTATTGTTATTATTTTATTGAACCAGGGAAGCTTTGCCAAGTCTCAAGACTTATTTTTTTAAACATTTATTAAAAAGTATATTTAATTAAGTAGAACGTGTTGTCTATATTTATTTCAAGTTGCGCATTTTGATGTAACGTCACATTTCTCACCCCCCCCCCCCTCGTCACACATCGTCACAAATGTCTGACCCCCCCCCCCCTAGTTGCGTGACGTCATTTATGGACGGCCCCTAATACCAGAAGGGTCGGTGCTGTTCTTGCGGTGGCCCAACTCTTGGGCCCGGCAAGGCTGCGGTGCCATCTAAATGATAAATTATCGGGCTGCAGTTTGGAGCTCGCCTCTGCCGAGTTGATATTTCCAGGGACACGCGATACAGGAGGAAGTTCCATGCCTCCCCCCATCGAGGAGCGGGGATCCCACCGACAGATTGTCACCGTTGATTTGTGGCACTGGCGCGGAGACGGAATGTTCATCTCTTTCGTAACAGTAGACCCTGGCAGTGGCCACCGCTGAAAAACCAGGCATAGCTTAAGTACTAAGGCCGAGTTTTTCCCCCATAACAAAAAAAACACATACACAGTGCAACCAGCCAAAGACTCCGATGCTGAAAATCTGCCTGAATAATTACTCGATCGGGATGACACGGAACAACCTGCAACCGACTTTAAACAAACTTGTCAGAACGAAGGCCGCAGCGATGGAGTCAACATTGGGCGGGACCAAATCTTCCAGGGGGTCTGGGTTCCCCCTCCCCCCCAGAAAAAAAATCTAAATTTGAAAACTAATTTCCTGCCTAAAATAAAAAAAAATCAGTAACACATAGGATGGACTTTTTTTTTTACTTTAATGTCTAATAGTGTATTGTATTACATTGCTCTGTTTTTACTCTTTTTAACCTTTTCCTGTTTAATTGTATGTAATGGCAGAGATTAGGGCTTAATAAAGTACAACCATAACCACAATCATATAAACAAAAATCAATTTTAAAGCAATATATTGGGCGGGACATTTTTAGCATATTTGAATATTGGGGGGGGGGGGGGGACACATCCCCCCCCCCCCCCCCCAATATATATGGTAATTACGGCCTTGGTCAGAACCCTTCTTAAAAAGTGTAGAGACTCGGTGAACCGTCATAACAATAATGCAACGCATGTTCTTGGTTCTTTCGGTAAAGTCACGTAGAAGGGAAATAATAAAATAATAAAAAATCAAACAATCTTATTTTATTTTTTCCATTCTACGTGACTTTACCGAAAGAACCAACAAGATGAATCCCTGCGGTCACGAAAGCTTTAAATCGAAATGCAATGCATGTTTCGGTGTGTGATGCAAGCCATCGCATGGTCACGCGCCTCCGTGGTCACGCCACCTCTCACCTTGGTGTAGACTCCATACTTGCCGCTCCGCGCGCACCCGTCGCCCCAGCTCACGATGCCCGTCAGGAAGAACGTGTCCCCGTAAAGAGTGGCGTGGGGGCCGCCACTATCCCCGCCGCAAGCGTCGCCCAGCCTCCCGCCGCCACCGGCACCGTCGTCGTCCGCGCTGCGCCCCGCGCAGAACATGTTGCGCGTGACGGCGGAGCCCAGCGCCCTGACGCACTCCGCGTGCGGCACGAAGGGCACGCTCACGGCCTGCAAGCGCCGCGGTTACCGAGAGCCAGGGGTCAAGGAGGGCATCTCGCGCGGCTCAGGCAGGTGCGGCCACGCGCAGCGGATGGGGGCTGCCTGAGTGCAGGTGTGCGCCTGTGCGTACGCAAGTTGGCACAGTAGGGGGCACAGGTGGTGCGTCAGCCACGGAGCTCGGTCAGTCGACCCGTGGCACCTGCTGGGTCTGTCCCGTGACCTCCTGCTGCCAGCGGGCATTCGACACTTCGCGTGGCCTCAAGGTGCACATGGCCTGGCACAAGCGTCGTGGTGACGTCACCGCCACTTAGTTGCGAATGGCGGTTGTTGTTGTATGCAGGGGAGCTGTGGTGTAATCGGTTAGCAGCGCTGCGCTTCGAACCTGGCGGCCCCGAGCTCGATTTCCCGTTCACGGCCAACACCGGTGGCAATTATCTGAACCGGTTCTGGGCCTCCCCTAGGTCGACTCGGCCTCAAATGAGTACCTGGTGCGGTGTGTAAACATCGCCACTGGGGAGACAAAGGCGGCCGGGCGTGGTGCTGGCCACCCACCCCATCGTGTGCCGTGCCGGCCTTCATAGGTGCTCGCTAACAGCACTTGCCCCAACAGTCTGTTAAGGCTATATGGTTTACCTTTGTCTATACACACATGCATTATTCCACCAAAGATTCCAGTGCTTTTGATGTCCTATACTACTGTACCTCACGATATTCTCGTGTGCGTTTTATGTACGTAGGATTGCTATTCATCACAAAATTGCAGTTTATGGAATCATGCTCCACGTACACATTTACACAGTAATAACCGCCGTTGTGAGTGGCGGTGATGTCACCATGGCACTTGAGCCAAGCTAGGTGCTCGGTGCATCTTGGGAGAAGTTTCGAGAGGCTTCCTGGCAGGAGGTCACGGGACAGACTCGGTTGTTATGGGTTTTAACTAAAATTAACTAAGGTTAACCCATAACAACTCCCAACTATGCCAACTTGCTGCATTTTATCCACCACCGTGCCCCACTCGTTGCGTGTAGGTGACATTAGCGAGCACACGACATCACGTGCCATCCTTCATGGTCGTTCTTTACATACGACCTGGCTCCCAGTATTGACTGTGATCGCGTAAAGCCACCCGGTACTATCCACCACCACCACCAGGCCCGGACTGGGCAGGCAAATGCCCGGGGGACCGCTCCATTCCGAGGTCCGCTGGCCCGGTTTGTGTGGAGAGATTGCAAATGCGATCAGAATAATTAAATGAATACAAATATTTTATCACCTCTAAATGCTTCATTGCTTATTTACCCTCTGAGTTGGCATTAAGTCCCATAGTCGTCGGCCCCAATGATTCTTCCTCACCGGCCAATTAAAAAAACAACAATTGCCCACAGCCTGAAATTTAGTCCGGTGTGTTAACAAATGCCCTTGCCGATTTTCCGTCCCAGCCCTTCACCGACCATCACCACCGCCACCGCCGCACGCACCTGCAGCACGCTAGCTCGTGCCGCGCCTTCGCCGAGGCGGCCCCATCCGCTGACGAGGCCGTGGATGCCCGGCATGAGCAGCTGCTGCTCGGACAGCGAGGTCGAGGGCAGGCAAAGCGGCACGGCGCTGGGGCCGAGGCGCGCGCGCGTCGCCAGCTGCAGCAGCGCCACGTCGTAGTCGCGGCGGCGCGGACCGGGCAGCGGCGGCAGCGGCGACGACGAGGAGGAGGAGGAGGAGGAAGAGGGGGCGACGTGCCGCTTGTGCAGCACCACACGCCGCACCGGCAGATACTGCTCCGAGCCGTCCAACACGTCCACGTCGTACTCACCTGCATAGAGGGTGGGGCGGGGGCAGAGGCGTAGCTGGGGGGGGCAGGGGGGTACATATGTCCCCGGGCGCCAAGGTAAAGGGGCGCCAAAATGAGGCTTACAACGTTACATTATAATCTTCTTGGTTCTTTCGGTAAAGTCACGTAGAATGGAAATAATAAAATAATAAAAATAAAACCTTTTTTTATTATGTTTTATTTTTATTATTTTCTTCTTTCCATTCTACGTGACTTTACCGAAAGAACCAAGAAGATGAATCCCTGCAGTCACGAAAGCTTGAAATCGAAATTGTTACATTATAACTTATTGCGGTGGGCGCGGCAGCCTGAAACTACTGCACAAATCTACACCTCAACCTAAAAGTTTATATATCCCGCCACACACAGCCGACATGTCATGTAATTACATTTTGGTATGTGATTAAACGGGGGGGGGGGGGCGCCAATTTTATAGTTCGTCCCCTGGGCAGGGGGGGGGCACTCAAAGACGTGGCTTGGTCTAAACGCCCCATGAGAGGCTTGTTGTATAATAACATCATTGTCTAGAGAGGGCATCAGAGACACCGGTCAACACGAACTTCGTGGGAGGTTTCTCACTCTCCTCTTCTACCCCCAGAGTCTCGAACTACCTATCCCCAGCCATCGATGAGAGTTGAAGAAGACCAAAGGTCACCGATAGAGTTCATAGACAATGACGGGCATATAGGAGCGGTCTCTCATTGGGGTCTATAAAGAATGACAAGAGTTGCCCGTGTTTTGTGACCACACCAATGATCACGTAATTGGCCAGGCCGCCCTGGGTCTTCGCTCCCACAATGCAGTGAGCGGCTGTGATGACCCACTCGTCGTTCAGCAGCGCCCCTCCGCATAAGCCTTTCCCCGTCTCGTAGCTCACGAGCAGCACCTGTCACAACCGCACCGCCACACCATGTCAGTGGCACCACTACACACAGACAACCATGCCACCAAACCCTAGCAGCCGCACCACCGAAACCCTGACAACTGCACCACTGCCCCCGATCAACCGCACCACCAAACCATGTCAACCACACCACCACAACCTGACAACCGCACCACCACTTCCTGTCAACCGCATCACTACCCCCGATCAACCGCACCACTGAAACCCTGACAACTGCACCACTACCCCCGATCAACCGCACCACCGAAACCCTGACAACTGCATCACTACCCCCGATCAACCGCAACCACCACGCCCTGTTAACCGCACCAACTCAACCCGATCAACAGCACCACAGAACCCGGTTAAGTGCACGAAGCGGTGTCGGTGTGCACGTGACCCACCTGCCAGGGACATTCTCCAGGCTCACACCTCCACCCATTGACAATCCTCAGGTCATCGCCACCTGGCGGCCCGTTACCATCCCGCACAACCATCACCAACATGATCACGACCGTGAGCAACATGCATCTCAATCACCGTCATCACCGACATCATCATCATCATCACCACCATAACCGATAGCGACATCATTTGAATCACCATCATCGCATTCGTTACCATCACCACCGTTACCAACATCACCTTCATTACCATCCACACTTCCACCACCATCGTCACCACCACCACAATCGTCACCCCCACCACCATCGTCGACATCATTGCCACCACCACAATCATCACCCCCACCACCATCATCGACATTATTTCCAACACAACCACGTCCTCAAGGCACTACCTCTGTGCTTGGCTTCTTTTTGTCTTTGTCTCCGTCCGCATGGAAACTCCACTGACCACGCACAGCACAGACACACAGCAAAGACACCGCATAGACACACATCATTAACACACAACACACACGGCACAGACACACAGCATAGACACACGGCACAGACACAGCGTAGACAAACATCATTAACACACAACACACACGGCACAGACACACAGCACAGACACACAGCACAGACACAGCATAGGCACACATCATTTACACACAACACACACGGCACAGACACACAGCATAGACACACGGCACACACAGCACAAACATACACAGTACAGACACACAGCACAGACACAGCATAGGCACACATCATTTACACACAACACACACGGCACAGACACACAGCACAGACACACAGCACACACAGCACAGATACACAGCACAGACACACAGCACAGACACAGCATAGGCACACATCATTTACACACAACACACACGGCACAGACACACAGCATAGACTCACAGCACAGACACACAACACACACGGCACAGACACACAGCATAGACACACAGCACAGACACAGCATAGACACACACCATTAACACACAACACACACGGCACAGACACACAGCATTAACACACAGCACAGACACAGCGTAGACACACATCATTAACACACAACACACACGGCACACACACAGCACAGACATACACAGTACAGGGACATTGCATGTGTGCGGCTCATGTAACTACACCGTGCAATATTTATCGTGCAGAGCTTGGGATTGCCTGGGAAGGTTCAATTGGAGTAAAAGGCTGGCAAACAGGATGACGAGTTAGAGGGCGGTTAGGGTGGTGAAGGAAGGGAAGAAAGTGTTTTGTGGAGTAGGAGTGGCAGACGGGGATGGTGAATGGAAGGTTCGGGAAGGAATGAGAGAGCAGATGAGCGTGTGGCTTGGAGAGAGCAAAGGGTGTTTTGTCGGTGGAAGTTTCCGACAACTACGAGTTTCTGCATTACCGAAAGAACCAAGGATATGAATCCCTGCAGTCACGAAAGCTTTAAATCAAAATTTAGAGTTCACGTTGTTCAAAAAAACCACAACACGTTACCAGGTAAGGCCCAAACAGGCACGTAGCTATTCGTTTAAAGAAGCGACCTGGTCATCACAAATGATAGCTCAAGGAATTGGCGTTCCATGCGGACGTTTATAGTGGTTGCCAAACACTCTAAACGCATGGCGACGTTGATTCGAAATGTGGAGGGAAAAACCGGGAGGATCCGGAGAAAAATTAACGCGACCACGGGGAAAGAGAGAGAGAGACGCAGACTTCAAATATACAGCAGGCGTCAGGGTCGGGATCGAACCCACGATCTCCTGTATACCAGGCGAGGTGGTCAACATATCCTAACCACCGTGATGATGATGAGCGAGAGAGAGAGACACACAAACTCCAAATACACACCAGCAGGCGTCAGGGTCGGGATCGGACCTACGACCTCCTGTACACCAGGCGAGGTAGTTAACATCTCCTAGCCACCGTGATGATGATGAGAGAGAGAGACACGCAGAGTCGGGATCGAACCCACGATCTCCTGTACACCAGGCGAGGTAGTTAACATCCCCTGGCCACCGTGGCAGCCCCACTTGGCAGGACTAGTCTGGTGGACTCCCTGTCACGGCAGACTCTGCGCGGGTCGTCCTGGTACAGAGTCTTCATCGTTCCAAACAAACGCCGTCACGAACACTTCTCGGGCACACTCGTAGGGGGGAGCTTTGCATTGTTGTCATATGAATGTGTATATGCAGGTTGTCATGTGAGTATGAGGTGTGTAGAGCGGTTTGCGCTGCGCTGCGCTACGAACCTGGTGACCCGAGTTGGATTCCCGCTCACAGCCACCAACACCAGTGACAATTATCTGAACCGGTCATGGGCCTCCGCTAGGTCGACTCAGCCTCAAATGAGTACCTGGTGTGGTGTGTAAACATCGCCCAACAGCACTAGCCCCAAAAGTCTGTTAATGCTACACGGGGGATCTTTGTCTTTGTTATCTTTGTCTATATTCCTATGTGAGTGCGAGGTGGTGCAACGGCCAGTCATCTCAGTCAACCCATGGCACCTGGGTCTGCCCCAGGTGACCCTCCTACCAGCGGGCGTTCGAAACTCCACGTGGCACTGAAAGTGCACCTGGCCTGGCAACAGGCGCCGTGGTGTCATCATCACCGCCACTGCTACTGCTGTTGTTGTGTTGCTGTTGTTCTGAGACGAGGGTGGCGGTGGTGCGGTGGTTGCCCACCCTGTGGCGAGCACGTGCCGTTGTCCATGAGCGCGTAGCCCTCGGCACAACCGCAGCGCACGCTGGCGTTGTTCCCTCGCTCAGAACAGAAGTGCTCGCAGCCTCCGTTCCGGTAGCCGCACGTGCGCGTGTCTGCCACGCCACCAAAGCCGAGGCAAACACACAGACAAAGATCCCCCGCGTAGCCTTAAAGGGGCTGTTGGGGCAAGTGGTGTGAGCGAGCAGCAGCTACAGCTATGAATGCCGGTACCGTGGCACACGAGGGGGTGGGTGAGTGGGGTGGGCAATAGTATGTTCGGCCGCCTTTGTCTCGCCAGTGGCGATGTTTACACATCATACCAGGTACTCATTTGAGGCTGAGTAGACCTAGGGGAGGCCCAGGACCGGTTCAGATAATCGTCACCGGTGTTGGCCGTGAGCTGGGAAATCGAACTCGGGTCGGCAGGTTCGGAGCGCAGCGTAGCGCTAACCGTAGCGCCACCGCTCCCCACTTGCGAACAAACACACATAACCGCTTTGGGTCGTCATCGCTAAGTAATACAGTATTTTCTTGGTTCTTTCGGTAAAGTCACGTAGAAGGGAAATAATCAAATAATAAAAATAAAACATAATAAAATAATTCTCACGACGTTTCGGCCACAACGCGAGCAGCCGTCCTCAGGTGAAGAACAGGTCTGTCGGGAAGACGCTGTGACTTTACCGAAAGAACCAAGAAGATGAATCCCTGTAGTCACGAAAGCTTTAAATCGAAATTTAATACAGTATTTATGCGACTTAATTGTCTAGGAATGTTGCTTTAAATTTAGACTTAAAATTTTCGTGGCTGCAGGAATTCATATTCTTGGTTCTAAATTAAAAGCAAAAAGCCCACGACGTTTCGATCGAAACACACGCGGTCTTCTTCACCTTCACCTGCAGAAGAGCGCTTGTGTTGCGATCGAAATTTCGTCGGATTTTTTTACTTTTAATTTTTGTTTTCTATCTCCGTGACTTTACCGAAAGAACCAAGAATATGAATGTTGTTTTGTCGACGGTTTGTACATGTTTACTCAAATTGTCTTTAGTTTATTTGGCATAAAGTCCAGCACTTATTTAAATTGTGATGTTGTCTGTTATTGGTTGCCGTGTACCAAACCGCATTATTAAGGTCAGGCTTAAGTATTGAACATCGCTGTTTTGACTTTCGCGGCACTTTCCAAGAACAGAATCGCCCGCGATACTCAAGGGTCTCATGTCCTGTAAAATAAGCTGCATCTCACGGGTTTCATCCAATCAGAGTGATGATCAGGAAGCAACCATGCTGTCGATTTAAAATACGGGAGACTCGATTCTCCCCGCTAATGACGGGGAGGACAGCTGCGGATATTTAAAAATCATGGATAATCTAAATTATACATTTTCCGTGGATCTTTAAGCCAATAACCAAAGTGAAAACAACACGACGCTTCAGTTTCTCTGCCATAGCACAGTTTAGTAAATTAAAACTCACAAAATAAATGATCGGATAAATCACTCCAAATGAAGCACAACTGACGATTTCGATTGTTACTTCTTCGATTTAGAAGGAATATTAACGATCGACGGATCGATGCGCGTGCTCAGTGATGACACTTTCCTGCTTCCGTGCAGAAGACTCCGCCCACTAAGTGGATGACAACAGAGCCACGCCAATCAAAATCAATAAAACTCCGCCCACCGTTGTAAAGATATGCAACTACTGTACTGTAGAGGCGATCACGTGGGTTTTGGATTAACCGGAGCAACATATTTATTCGGTTTAAGCACGTGACTTGCAATACACATTTCCCAGAATTCTAGATTTGAAGTTTTCGTGACTGCAAGGATTCATAATCTTTGTTTTTTTCGGTAAAGGCACGTAGGTGGAAAATTAAATAAATAATAGAATGAAAACAACAAAAATTGGATAAAATTTTATTGTAGTTGTTTTCATTCTACTTTATTTATTTATTTCCCCCCTACTTGACTTTACCGAAAAAACCGAAGAGTATTTCCCAGAAAAACGATGTATAACTGTTTTTAGAGTATTAATTTGGGCTTAAGGGGAGAAATCCACGAGTTATTCATTTTTGTCAATCTCAGGTGCACCGATTAATCTGCAAATCGGATAAACTGCACGCGGATAATCGAGAATCTATTGTAGATATTTGAACAAACCAAATGACATGTAAACTCATTCTAGATTTGAAGCTTTCGTGACTGCAAGGATTTATATTCTTATGTTTTTTCGGTAAAGTCATGTAGGTAAAAAATTAAAATTAATAAAAGTAAAATAAAAATAAAATAAAAATCACGACGTTTCGGAGGCAACACAAGCTTCCGTCTTCAGGTGGAACCGTCACAGCACGATAGCTGTATAGCTGTATCAGCTGTATCACAGCACGATAGCTGTATAGCTGATACAGCTGATACAGCTATACAGCTATCGTGCTGTGACGGTTCCACCTGAAGACGGAAGCTTGTGTTGCCTCCGAAACGTCGTGATTTTTATTTTACTTTTATTAATTTTAATTTTTTACCTACGTGACTTTACCGAAAAAACCTAAGAATATGTAAACTCATCCCCACGAAAAGTGTGTTTGTGTGTGTGTGGGGGAGGGGGTGTTTCATCGAGCCGAGCGAAGGCTGCCTCACTGATCTCGCAGTTGACGCCTTGGTAGCCGTCTGGACAGACGCACGAGTACGAGTTGAGCGCGTCCTTGCACGTCCCCGCGTGGCAGGGGCTCGAGGCGCATTGGTCTCCATCTTGACATGAGAACAGAGGACGAGTGCGTGAGAGAGAGAGAGGCGAGAACACCGACACGATGTTAGCTACCTCGCCTGGTATACAGGAGGTCGTGGGTTCGATACTGACCCTAACGCCTGCTGTATTATTGGAGTTCGCGTGTCTCTCTCTCCCTGTGGTTGCGTGGATTTTTCACCAGAGTCCTCCGGTTTTTCCCTCCACATTTCGAATCAACGTCGCTACGCGTTTAGAGTGTTTGGCTACCGCTATAAACGTCCGCATGGAACGCCAATTCCATGAGCTATCATTTGTGATGCACCAGGCCGCTTCTTAAAAAGCATAGCTACGTGGCTGTTTGGGTCTTACCTGGTCACGTGTTGGTTTTTTCCTCCGGTTTTGCCCTCCACATTTAGAAACTTGCGTGTAGAGTATTTGTCTGCTATAAATTTCCACGCGATAAGCCACTTCGTTGAGGCTATCATTTGTGATATGCCGGGTCGCAGTGGGCAGTCACGAAAACTTAAAATCTAGAATCAGTGGGCATTACCTGGTAAAATACAAATGTACGTCTGGGAAGCTCAAACATTGACATTTGGAGGTGTTGGCGGCACACCGGTGCAGGAGCACAACACACGGTGTTCTAATAAAATCGTCTCGTGATGTCGCTGTTGCCATTGAGTGAGCTGCAGACGTCTCCATCAAAAGCTGCCTGAGATCCTCAGCCGCTTTCCTAATTGCAACGTGTGACACGAGTCGTAATCTTGCCACCGTCCGCCAAGAAATTATTCCGAAAATGAATCGAGGACCCGTCCGACCCGAGCCTCGGGCACGAGGAGTCAAATCTGCCTTTGGAACACGGAGCAGCCAATCGTCGTCAGGATGGCTGCTGCTATACGGCAACAGTGAGTTCTCCTCCTCCCATCTCTCCGTGTAATAACAAAAGGCATTTTTTTCTCCGTCTACTTGAAATTAAAGGGAAGTGGTGTGTGATGGCATGTTTGGGCTTTACATACAATAACAACAACCGGCATTCGCCACTAAGTGGCGGTGACGTCACCACAGTGCTTGTGCCAGGCTATGTGCACGTTAAGGCCACGTGAAGTGTCGAACGCCCGCTGGCAGGACACGGGACAGACCCAGCAGGTGCCATGGGTCGACTGACTGAGATGACTGGCCGATGCACCACCTGCGCTCGACTGTGCCAACTACATACAAACAACGACAAAGATCCCCCATATAACCTTGACAGACTGTAGTGGCAAGTGCTGTGAGCGAGCACTTATGAAGGCCGGAACGGTACGCAAGGGGGTGGGTGGCCAGCACCACGCCCGGCCGCCGTTGTCTCCCCAGCGGCGATAGTTACACACCGCACCAGGTACGCATTTGAGGCTGAGTCGACCTAGGGGAGGCCCGGGACCGGTTCAGAAAATCGTCACTGGTGTTGGCCGTGAGCGGGAATCGAACCCGTGTCGCCGGGTTCCTAGCGCAGCGCGCTAACCGCTACACTACCGCTCCCCACATACAAAGACAAAGATCCCCCGTATAGCCTTAACAGACTGTAGGGGCAAGTGCTGTTAGCGAGCACCTTCCCCACATACACACACATACACACACGCATCTCACCTGCGTATTTGTACCAGAATGATTTCTGAAAAACAAACAAGCAAGCCAACAAGCGTGTGAGCTCAGCACCACTCACAGCCGCACGCGTCGAGTGAAATACTAAGGTCAGAGTTCAAACATTCAAGACGTTAATTGCCTTTGTCGCCAATGTTATTCTTCCCCATTGCGCAATCGGCGTCGTGCTCTGAGCCAAAGAATCAATTAAGAAATCTCGCCGAGCAGTGTCTATATACATAAAACCACGTGAGTAAGAGAAATGTCCCAGGCACGTAAGGTGATTTATAAATGTGTGAAATGATATCATACATGAGAGTCCTTGGTGAATAATCACGTATGAAAACTGCCAAGATAGCGTAACTACGACAACATTTAATTCCATATGGTATCAAATATATTTTCTAAACTCATTGATCGTAAACAACGTGGTTTCCAAGAGTAGCCAACGAACAAATTCACGTCACGCCAGTTAAATTTAGTTGTATTCGCTTGCAGTTACTGGCGAGTTAGATTAACCTCACAAAATTGACGATTGGTTAAAATATCGATGCTGATTATTCATACATTTTTTTTCACGTTGGGGTTAGGCAACGGGGGGGGGGGGGTAGTACTCGGTTGAAACAAAATTCCACAAGGGGGTGTACAACACAGTAGCCCAACAAGGTTGAGAACATAGTCGTAGGTTTTCACCCTTTTAAACTGGTACAAAACTGACACCTTTATTCAAGGCATCATGTTTGCAATAACCACAACACAAGTAGTCAAAAAAGCAAACAAAAAGAAGTAACTCTGATAATGATAATAATATCATTATTAGAGTTACTATCATTATCAGAGTTACTTCTTTTTGTTTGCTTTTTTGACTACTTGTGTTGTGGTTATTGCAAACATGATGCCTTGAATTAAGGTATCAGTTTTGTACCAGTTTAAAAGGGTAAAAACCTACTACTATATTTTGCCACTGGTAAAAGAGATCTCATAGTGTAAAGGTTGAGAACCACTGAGTGAGAGAACATCTCCCGCGGAAGCAGCTATCGCAGACGTCACCTCTGCTCTACGAAGAGTCAGGGGGTGACCATTTTCGAACTGCCATTGCCGCAGAGAGTCGTGGCCGTCGCTTGAGTCAGATGTTATATATTATACTGGTAGGAACCTCCTGGTTACACCAGCCCACAAGGGATTATTCTGTCCGTCCGTCCGTCCGTCGTGCAGGGAGGGGCTGGGTGGGGAGGGTGGGGCTGGGTGGGGAGGGGAGGGTGGGGAGGGGCTGGGTGGGGAGGGTGGGGAGGGGCTGGGTGGGGTGGGTGGGTAGTTGCTGGGTGGGGAGGGTGGGGTGGGGATGGGTGGGAAGGGGCTGGTCACCCCGTAGTGCCCTTATAAAACTCAACGTTTCACCTACTCACGCCGGCTTGTGCCCGCCCTCACAGTCGGGCATATTTGCGAAATACACCACGCCGCCGTTGACCCTGGCCATTGACCGAGCAACCCAATGTTCCTACCAGCTCCCTCCGCAGCAGGAATGTGTTCTTGAGGGTTCTTGTTTTTTTTAGCAAATTTAAATGCAGAACCAACTTTCAATGTGTGAAGGCGTTCTGTTGTCAAGGTGACCAGGCTCAGACTATCAACCCGCAACACTTTTAATAACCCGGTTTAATCGCATGATGCCTATCGGAGTACAACTGGAACATATTTCATACAAAAACAATGTTTCTGCTGTATGTGCCCAAAGAAAGCTTATCGCTGAACTCTGTTAATGCTCAACTCAATAATCCAGATGTACTTTGAAATATTAACAGTCTACTCAAAGTGTATGCGAGACACATGCACACGTATGGTGCGTACACAGACAAAGATCCCCCTATAGCAGAATCAACATTTTTATTTAGACTGGAGGAATCCGTTGCACCTGATGAGTTAATGAGTTAATGATGACGTCACCCTGCTGCTGCTCTATATAAGAACGGGAGGCAGAGCAGAGCCTCACCATTCTGGCGAATTGCCCGATGATGCTGGATGCAATTACCAGCGAAACGTCGTACTACTCAAATTGTAAATGTTGTGGTTTCACGCTTCAACACACCGGTGGGCTAAAGCAGTGAACTATTTCTCTTTTGTCAACGTGACACTTTTGTACTGATTGGCCGTGTCGGGTGGTGGAGGGTTACGACACATTTATAAATAACGCGATCTAAACCCAAAAACGTTGATTATGAATGATCTATGAAGTTACTTTTTCATAGGTTGTCGGAGCGCCTATGAAGGCCATCGTGGCATGGCCAGAACCACACTCGACCACCTCCGACTCCCACGTGCCGATGTTTGCACACCGCAAGAGATCGTCATTTAAGTCTAGGTCGACTTAGCGGACGTCCAGAACAGGTTCAGATATTCGTTAAACGTGAGCTGGAATAGAACTCAAGTCGCTGGGTTATCTTTCAAGGTTATATACATCACAACAAGAACAGGCAACCAGCCACGACTACGCGGCGGTGATGTCACCACGGCACTTGTGCCAGGCTGGGTGCACCTTGAGGCTATGTGAAGTGTGGAAGCCTTGCTGGCAAGAAGGTCACGGGACAGATCCAGGTGTTGAGAGTTTACAGAGAGGCCCTGTTGTTGGAGAGGGCCTGCCTCCAGGTCATCTCTGCCCAATGCCGTAACTGGTCTCGGACTCCGGATCACCCTTCGCACTTCAACAGATGACAGTGCAGATGCTGCCGGCCTCAGCCAATGAACCCATAACACCTGGGTGTGTCCCGCGATCTCCTGCCAGTGAGCGTTCCTCACGTTCACGTGGCCTCATTGGTGCACCGAGCCTGACACAAGCACCGTAATGACGTCACCGCCACTTAGTGGTGAATGGCAGCTGTTGTTGTGACCTGGCTCGCTTTGAGTAGAGTGAGTGTGGGGAGCGGTGGTGTAGCGGTTAGCGCGCTCCGCTACGAACCCGGAGACCCGAGTTCGATTATCTGAACCGGTCCTGGGCCTCCTACTCGCAAACGGCCCTTGCCCCAACAGTCTGTTAGAGGGCTATACGGGGGAGCTTTGTCTTTCTTGTGTGAGGAGTCTCAATGCTCACCGCCGCCTCCTTGTCGGGGAAGATCTCCATGGCTTCCTCGAGGCTGCAACGCTCCTCCATGCATTCGCGCTCCAGGGAGCCTGGGAGGAACTCCTCCAGCCCGTGGTCATTGACTCTGCGCACTCGCAGCAGTCGAGACGCCTCCCGCCTTGACACGAACACTGGCGGTGGCAGGGGGGGGGTGGCGGAGATGGTGATGATAGTGAAGGAGTTGGCGTTGGTGGTCGTGGTGATGAAGGTGGTGGTGGTGGTGACAGTGGTGGTAGCGGTATTGATAGTGGTGGTGTTGATTGTGGTAGTGTGGATTTGGATGTTGGTGGTGGTGATGACAGTAGTGGTAGTCGTATTGATGGTGGTGGTGTGGATGTTGATTGTGGTAGTGTGGATTTGGATGTTGGTGGTGGTGATGACAGTAGTGGTAGCGGTATTGATGATGGTGGTGTTGATGTTGATTGTGGTAGTGTGGATTTGGATGGTGGTGGTGATGACAGTAGTGGTGGCGGTGTTGATGGTGGTGGTGTTGATGTTGATTGTGGTAGTGTGGATTTGGATGGTGGTGGTGGTGATGACAGTAGTGGTAGCGGTATTGATAGTGGTGGTGTTGATGTTGATTGTGATAGTGTGGATTTGGATGGTGGTGGTGATGGTGAAAGTGGTGGTAGTCGCAGCAGTGGTGTTCGTGTATCAATAATAATATTAATGAATAATATTTATGTTAGTAGTAATTGATTATTGTTAAAGAAGGCTCAGTCACAAACAAATCCACCTTTGAGTGTGATCGGGTTTTTGTTTCTTACAGCTTTGTATTTGGGAATAACTGAGAGAGAGAGAGAGACCAACAGTAACACCATCACTGCTACGTTCTCTCTTGAGAAGAGACGGCAACTTGACAGTTTCCGTTCAACCAAGTTGGAGAGTTAATCTCCCCCAAAAAAGTGCGGCAATCAGGCGTCAAGGTTGACATCGCCACGAGAATATTGTCATCATTGATTGTGCTCGCGTCCCTTCACTGGGTGCCGAGTTTGGATTCTCTGCTGAATGGGTGACCCGGGCAGTTTCCGTTGCGGCCCCTCAACTATGGAATTCCCATCCATCCCAGATGTTCAGTCCTCCAAGGCACTCGGCTTATTTAAAATACATCTGTTCCAAAAGGCCTCTCGACTTGGTATTTGTATCTGTGGGGTTGCATTTGGTGGGGTGTTTTTTTAATCACTAGCCTGTGTGCTTTTATTCGGTGTTTACTGTGTTTTTTTGAATCGCTATTAATTTCGTGTTCTTGAAAATTCGTTTTTTTTGGGTTGAATCGCGTGCGGTGGCTGGGCATGCGGGCTACATGACCCAGCCAACGCAGCCTTGCCTGCCGGAGGAGCTCAGTGATGGGAATGTGTCCAGATCTTTCAAGGATTTGTGAGCTCCTCACACAATCCAGCCTGTTTAAACCCAGGATGGATCATAGGCATGCCAGCCTGAATGTTTCTAACCGGCGCAGATGTTCCATTAGAGGGGTCCAGGTTTCACAAGCATGGAGAAGGGAGGGCATGACTGTGGCCGAGAAGACTCGAAGCTTCGTGGGGAGCGACAGACCAGGTAGCTTCCACACAGCATTGTGCAGTCGATGAAAAGCTAATGCCGCCCGACTGAATCCGAGTGATACTTCTGCTGTCAAACCGGAGCTGTCAAACCCGCTTACACACTCACCAATTCACATGCCCACTCTCCCACACGTTCACTCGCCCATATACTCACGTCACTCACCACGCTGCAGGTCATAACACCTTTCTTGCTCCTTCTCTCGCACTGGTCGACTTCGGAATTCCCTCCCATCGTATCTTTCCCCCAAAATTATTCCCCCGCCACCCAATAAAAAAGTCAAATTGTACCCCCGAAGCTCAAAAAATTAGCAGCGCACAGAGCATTATTGTAGTACTCTTAGGTTTTTTCGGTAAAGTCACGTAGGTAAAAAAAAAAATGATTTGCATTTTATTTTTTACCTACGTGACTTTACCGAAAAAACCTAAGAGTATGAATCCTTGCAGTCACGAAAGCTTCAAATCTAGAATCATTACTGTAATGCCAATGAGCTTGGTATCACACTCCACACAGAGCCATCGCGAACCAGGCAGTCCCCGTTACATTCTGCACGTGAATGACTGTAGCGCTGGATTGTACCTCCTAGAATTGGGTTGCGATTTTCGGTGGCTTTTTTTTACAGTTCATATTTCGTAAAGTAAATATCACAAAAAGTCATAACAGCAGCATACATCGCATGAGCATCACTGTGGAGAAAGTCAACAGTGTATGTCTGTGGAACTTCTTTCGCGCCATACGTAGCCAACCGTGCCAATCGGAGATGCAAACAATGGTTGTCCGATGGAGAAACTCGACCCCGCCACGGGAATGTGGAATTTCAAACACTGACTCAGGGTTCTAGATTTGAAGCCGGAAGTTTGTGTTGCCTCCTAAACGTCGTGATTTTTATTTTATTTTTATTTTACTTTTATTAATTTTAATTTTAATTTTTTTCCTACGTGACTTTACCGAAAAAAACCTAAGAATATGATTACTGACTCAGGGCTTTACACGGGAGACACGAGCATCAATTTGAGCAGCAAATCAACGTTTGACTTGACTCCGAGTAACAGGCACCAAAGAATCTTCTTGGTTCTTTCGGTAAAGTCACGTAGAAGGGAAGTAATAAAATAATAAAAATAAAACATAATAAAACAATCCTCACGACGTTTCGGCCACAACGCAAGCAGCCGTCCTCAGGTGAAGAATGAGACAATGCCAAGCTAGGAGCTTATATATAAGCTGCGTTGGAGGTGGAAGAAAGAGCGCCTTAACAAAAGAATGTGCATATGAAGAGGAATTTAGCATATATGCACATTCTTTTGTTAAGGCGCTCTTTCTTCCACCTCCCACGCAGCTTATATATAAGCTCCTAGCTTGGCATTGTCTCATTCTTCACCTGAGGACGGCTGCTTGCGTTGTGGCCAAAACGTCGTGAGAATTGTTTTATTATGTTTTATTTTTATTATTTTATTACTTCCCTTCTACGTGACTTTACCGAAAGAACCAAGAAGATGAATCCCTGCAGTCACGAAAGCTTTAAATCGAAATTTAGGCACCAAAGAAGTTCAACATTCGTAGCCCGTGCATGCTTAACGAGATGACAAGGGGGAAATGAACAACGGGGTTTTTGATGAGACCAACGTGATTCACCGTCTCACTTCACCGCTGCATTCGCTTGAAATGGACCGATCCGTCCTCCGAGCGACAGGGTGACGCTGCGAATACCTGCAGTGGTTGCATGGAGGAGGAGGAGGCAAGATGAAAGCAGAAGGAGTTTCCACGGACGCAGCGACATGTCGCGATGGAGGCCTGCTACCCTATATATTGTTTTGGAGTTGGGAGGTTTTGGCTGAGCGGACGCGAGGGGGGAGGAGAGTCACCGCCCTCCTCCCGCCTCCCCGCCAAGGCCATGGTGGCTTAGCTGGGTCAAAAAGCCAAGCAAACAGAACGCGGGGGCTGATAATGGCAGAGGAGGAGTACACTTCCAAACGAACCCAAATTAAATTTCGATTTAAAGCTTTCGTGACTGCAGGGATTCATCTTCTTGGTTCTTTCGGTAAAGTCACGTAGAAGGGAAGTAATAACATTATAAATAATAAAACAATACAATAAATCTCACGACGTTTCGGCCACAACGCAAGCAGCCGTCCCCAGGTGAGGACCAGGTCTGTCGGGGAGACAGCGTCTGAAACGTCGTGAGAATTATTTTATTATGTTTTATTTGTATTATTTGATCACTTCCCTTCTACGTGACTTTACCGAAAGGACCAAGAAGATGAACCCAAATTAATTTCTCGCCCGCTCACTCACTCGCTCGCGCACGCGTCCACTGCCTCAACCTGACACTCACTCAAGACACTCGGATGCCCAAGCCACATTCGACCACTGCCGTATCATCGTGTCGCATGGGCTCGATGATTAAGACAGGGGACGTCTGCTAAAACATGACCAAGCTGCATCGTGTACAACATTCTCTGGCACGTGGTCGTGACGGGCACCGCAAGACCCGACCGTGTCCGTCTAGTGCTCGCTGAGCTGCATTGGTCACCGGTTGCTGAACGAATTGCATTGTAAGGTCGCACTCATTAGGGGCCGTCCATAAATGACGTCACGGACCTAAGGGGGGGGGGGGTCAGACATGTGATGTCAGATCAAAATGCGCAACTTTAAATAAATACAGACAACACGTTCTACTTAATTAAATGGACTTTTTAATAAATGTTTCTCCTACAACATCAGAGTGCAGCGCCACATTAAATACGCACTACAATGACAATAGTTTAAAGCGATTTGAAGCATGTTTTATTTTTGGGGGGGGGCAGAGCTTTGTGACGTCATATCTGAGGGGGGTCTGACTTTTTGTGAAGCCGTGTGACGAAGGGGGGGGGGTCAAAAATCATCCAAAATCGCGTGACGTCATTTATGGACGGCCCCAAAGCGCTTGCCACAAATGAACCACCACACCCTCGCTGATCTCGTCAAGGAGAATGAATCATCATCACGCGCACTCCGCTCGTCATCCTCGCAGAAGCAGCAGCGGCGGCGGCTTTTGGCTGCTGGTCATCGAGCAAAGACGGCGGTCACCGCATCGCGTGGCGCTTTCAGAAGCGCTTCTGCGGCCGTCTGGAACGCTCTTCCGTCCGGTATTAGGAAGCCGCTGGAGCTATGCAACTTTGAAATCATCGAGGTTGGAAACGCATTGATTTAGAACTGCTTTTGGTGCTTAGTTTGTTGTCCTATGAAGGCCGGCACGGCACACGAGGGGGTGGGTGGCCAGCACCACGCCCGGCCGCCTTTGTCTCCCCGGTTGCGATGTTTACGCACCCGCACCAGGTACTCATTCGAGGCTGAGTCGACCTAGGGGAGGGCCCAGCACCGGTTCAGATAATCGTCACCAGTGTTGGTGGCCGTGAGCGAGACTCGAACTCGGCTCGCAGGGGTTCGAAGCGCAGCGTAGCGCTAACCGCTCCGCCACCGCTCCCCCCGCCCACTCCCCCCGCCCACTCCCCACTCCGCCCGCCCACTCCCCACTCCCCCCGCCCACCCCCGCTCCCCCCGCCCACTCCCCCCGCCCACTCCCCACTCCCCCCGCCCACTCCCCCCGCCCACTCCCCACTCCCCCCGCCCACTCCCCCCGCCCACTCCCCACTCCCCCCGCCCACTCCCCCCGCCCACTCCCCCCGCCCACTCCCCACTCCCCCCGCCCACTCCCCCGCCCACTCCCCCCGCCCCCCGCCCACTCCCCACTCCCCCCGCCCACTCCCCCCGCCCACTCCCCCCGCCCCCCGCCCACTCCCCCCGCCCACTCCCCCCGCCCACTCCCCACTCCCCCCGCTCCCCCCGCCCACTCCCCCCCCGCCCACTCCCCCCACTCCCCCCGATCCCCCCGCCCACTTTCTCCGCTCCCCCCGCCCACCCCCGATCCACCCGCCCACTCCCCGCTCCCCCCGCCCACTCCCTCCGCCCACTCCCCCCACTCCCCCCGATCCCCCCGCCCACTCCCCGCTCCCCCCGCCCACTCCCTCCGCCCACTCCCCCCACTCCCCCCGATCCCCCCGCCCACTCCCCGCTCCCCCCGCCCACTCCCTCCGCCCACTCCCCCCACTCCCCCCGATCCCCCCGCCCACTCCCCGCTCCCCCCGCCCCCACTCCCCCCGCCCTCTTCCTGTGGGGGAGGAGCAGGAAGATGGCGACACGAAGCGTCTTCGCTTCGCTCCTCGTCGCTACCTTCATTGCCTCTTTGCTTCCTGCGCCGGCTTCTTGCGATGGTGGGGGATGATGGTGGTGGTGGTGATGATGGTGTTGATGATGTTGGTGATGTTGGTGATGGTGATGATGGTGTTGATGGTGTTGATGATGTTGGTGGTGATGGTGTTGATTTTAATATTGGTGATGGTGGTGATGGTTGCGGTCTGGGGATGGTGCGGGCCGTCATAGGTGCAGCACTTGCCGCAGCAGTCTGTGAAGGCTACCCGGGGGATCTTTGTACAGGGGAGCGGTGGTGCAGCGATTGGCGCGCTGCGCTACGAACCCGGCGACCCGAGTTCGATTCCCGCTCACGGCCAACACCGGTGACGATTATCTGAACCGGTCCCTGGCCCTCCCCTAGGTCGACTCAGCCTCAAATGAGTACCTGGGGGGAGACAAAGGCGGCCGGGCGTGGTGCTGGCCACCCACCCCCTCGTGTGCCGTGCCGGCCTTCATAGGTGCTCGCTAACAGCACTTGCCCCTGCAGTCTGTTGCAGGCTACACGGGGGATCTTTGTCTTGCAGTGCTAACTCCGTGAATCCCGGCTAACATCAGTGGCTAGTGATGTGTGAAGTCTGCCCGCACTGATGGGTATGGCCAAACTAAATTGTGAATATTTATACTGAAGCAATTCGATGAGCTGTTAAAGCTCATTTTCACAGGTGTCGGGACGTTACATCAACCACACGATACAAAAAAACACGATAGGAGTGCAGAGGATAGGAAAGATAAAACAATTAAAATAAACTTTTTTTCATCTTAGGGGCCGGCCATAAATGACGTCACGCACCTAGGGGGGGGATCAGAGCCTTGTGGCGTCATATTTGAGGGGGGGTCTGACTTTTTGTGACGCCGTGTGACGAGGGGGGGGGGGGGTCAAAAATCATCCAAAATCGCGTGACGTCATTTATGGACGGCCCCTTACCAGATAAAACCCTCAACGACACAGCACGGAGTGGCTCCTTATCCAGCAGTGGCTGGATCATGGCTGATGATGAATTACCCCCATTAACTACTGTATCGTGTGTGTGTGTGTATCAGCTGCTATAACACGGTGAAATCCGTGCTGATGATTGTTAAAACGACAACCAGTAAACCGGTAACCGTTATCAGAAAAGGTTCCGGAATTCGGGGACCGGCAGTGGGCACCGTGACCAATGAATTCACCGATTGGCGCGTGCGAATATAACAAACGGCATCGTGGCAGGTCCTGTAAAGATAAAGGTTGGGCTCTACAAAGATAAAGGTGCGGCCCTACAGTCTCTTGTTTGCTGTCATGGTGCGCCAAGCCACTCCTTGCTGTCTCGAGTTTTCACCAGACCACTCGAGAGAACGCCGGCGAGTGTTTGGTCTACTCTTCCATGCTGACAAACAAACGTTGGAAGAGGTGGATGTACCCACGCTTTACCCCACCACACGTGACCCGCCGATCGACTGCCGTGTAGCCATGGTATAGTGCCGGTGGTGGAGGGTTTTGGGGGATTTGAGAAGCGCGGTCGTTGAGGTCACCGGTTCGATCCCCGCTCCCGGTAACCTCTGGTTTGCAGGTTCCGGCGTTTTTCATTTGCCAAGGTGGACGTTTTGCAATTACTGCTCCCTAGTCAACGGCTACATGTGTGGCGATCCGCTTTAAACGTTTGTAATGTGCTTTCCGGGAATGCAAAAAAAAAGTGTTTTAACAAACAGAAATATCGGGGATTATTATTGACACGTGTCTTTTGTGCTCTAGTGGTAGTGCCTTACGCCGACAATTACGACTCCGAAACAGCCCGGCGTTGCTCACGAAAATATCGGGCGAAAATTTAAAGCCGGCGGGTAAACAACTAACTCGGGTGAGCCACTTTCATTGGCACGGTGGCGCAGTGGCCAGAACACCTGGGTTCGACTGGAGCGTCCTTCCCGCGTGGAGTTTGTTCTTCCCAGCTGCTCTGCGTGGCTGCTGTGTCCGCTGCCGCCCCAGGCTCCCGGTGGGAGCGTCGCCTGCGCGTGGTGACGACGGCGCTGCACGAGTACCAGCCGTGCGTGCAGCAAAACTGCTCGTGCCATCGCGGGTGAGGAAGCGTCGAGCAATGGCCGGCGCAGAAATATCCGCTCGGCCGCCCCCCCCCGGTCGAGTTCCGTCTCCGTAGCCAGTGCGTTACTCTCGTGGCTCTACTGGGCACCCCCCTCCTTCCGCTCCACCCCACCTGAGAGGAGGTGGAGCCAGTCCTCCACTCCTGAGCTCATAGTCCTCGAGAATGGACTTGTCGCGGGACGGATCGACCTGTCGGCGTAATAGGTTGCGTGACTCGAAGGCCTCAGAAGTAGTTCTCTGAGATCCCCACCCCCCGCCTCTGCGGACCGTTCTCGAACACGCTTGGATCGTTCGTCGCGGGACGTGACGCGCCCCGACAGTGCAACTGAGATTAAATTGGCATTGAGTGTGTGGCAATCGGTTAATGACATTGTAGCAAAACGGCGTGTTAATTATGTGTGCTTGCGTTACATTTCAGATAATGGCCTCTATTTTTGTTCTGTTTCTCCATTGACTGCAAATCGTTGCTGTTGGTAAATGGAAAAAGGGGAAGAGGAGGAAAATGTATTGCTCAGTGGGACAATGCTAATGTCGGTTCAACAATTCTGGCTGTCGCCTGATAAAACTGGTTGCAATCACCAGCGATAGGTACTCCGATTGTAAATGTTGTGAGTTTACTCTCCAACGCACCTGGTGTGCTGAACTAGTAACTAATTGGCATGTTTTGTTTATGTGACAAACCTTACTAATTGGCTATGTCGGGTGGTGGCGGGTTTAATGACACATTTACGTGATCTAACCCCAAAAAAAAAACTTTATTATGGTCAATGTCAACAGTTGAACGGGAACATCCACGATCAACGCTGCACGAAAAGATGCAAACCGTCAACGATCGCCGGGCTACGCAGTTGGATTTGTAAATCTTTTTCTCCGACTTCCCGGTGGCCCCCAGGGTGCTGGAGTCGGACCTCGCCCCGTTCAGCGGGGGGATCGCAGAGGCCGACGTGAAGGAGATGGTGGCACGGGGCGTCGGCACGCACTACCAGGTGTTAGCCCACCGGCTGTACCGCGAGGACGCGTGCATGTTCTCCGCTCGGTGAGCGTGCATGCGCGGGCCGTGCGGTGGCGCGTCTCGCCGCTCGTTGCAGAGGCCAGTGGTTCAAACCAGAGGTCGCAAACGGGTTTTGATTCCTTACCCGTACCCGGCCGTACCCTACCCGTACCCGGCTGGGTCGCAACCGGGTACCCGATACCCGTACCCAGCCGGGTATGGGTACCCGTTTGCGACCCTGGTGCGGCCGGGTACGGGTAGACCGTGAGTCACTGGTGAGTAACCGTTTGTCACTCATTTCCCAACGTCTTGTCTCTTCTCACAATTCAAGTTCCTAGAATCAACCCACCCGCGCCTTCAACATGGTTTAATCCCAGAGGTCGCAATCAGGTACCCGATACCCATACCCTATCCGTACCCAGCTGGGTACGGGTAGCCGGGTATCGGGTAGGGTACAGGTATCGGGTACCCGGTTGCGACCTCTGGTTCAAACACAGCACCTCCGATTAGCACGGTTGGCTACGTACGGCGCCAAAGACGTTCAACGTACGTACGTACGGCAGTCGTTCTAGTTGATACTTGCGGGGGCATTGTCTGTGATATACTACGCGCTGTACCCTTCACCCGGAGGAGACGTGAACCTACCTTCCGCAAGGATATTTGACGGAGAGTAGTTGGCCTCGTGTGCCGGTGTCACAATGCGAATGTGCACAATTACTAAAGTTCTTTATTAAAATAACTAATAGCAACGTATAGCCCCCTACTGGCAGACCAATTCCCACTTACAGCCAGTGGTCACCCGGTGTTGCGCAGGGACCGGCGTCAATCAGGACAGACAACTGCACTTCAGGACGTGGGTGCAATTAATATAAGTATTATTACAATACCGTCGTTACCGCCAACGTGCTTGCGCATATCGCCCCCCCCTGATTTTGAACCACTGCCGCATAAATTGTGAACTCCCAGAAGGCCGTGCGGATGATGGGATGTGTAAACAAATGTACTTTTATACTTTCACGTGGCGGGACAGATATGTGAAGAAGGCTTCTTGTCTCCTGAGTGTTTTTTAAAAATGTATTTATTATATTTCAATCGGAGCGTGGTACAGAGACGTAGGGAGGGGGTATAGAAACTCCGCGGAGACATAAGTCCCACTCAGTGCATCTGAGTTTATCGAAAGGGGGAGATTGGGAAGGATAGGGTGAGGGAAAAATAGCTTAAGAGAGAAAGAGGATGGCGTCTTCTGAGTGTTTTTATAAGAATGTATAATCCATAATAGAGGTTTTTTTGGGTTAGATCGCGTAAATATATAAATGTGTCGTTAAATCCGCCACCACCCGACACAGCCAATTAGTAAGGTTTGTTACAATAACAGAACGTGCCAATCCGTTACTAGTACAGCACACTGGTGTGTTGGGCAGCAAAGCCGCAACATTTCAATCTGAGCAAAGCCACAACATTTACTCGGATTGTAAATGTTATGGCTTTGCTCTCCAACACACCGGTGTGCTGTACTAATAACGAATTGGCCACGTTCTGTTTACATGACAACCCTTACTAATTGGCTGTGTCTGGTGGTGGCGGGTTTAATGACGTATATTTACGCGATCTAACCCAAAAAAACTGTATTACGGATGATATTGCTCCCGCAAGCCTATGTGTTAAACTGAATTTAGAATGGCTGACAGAGGTGAGAAAGATGCACAAAGAGGAGTTGGAGAGAGCCACGGGAGCTGCTGGTGCTGTCGGTCGAGCCGTTTCTGTCTCTCTCATTTCCCAGGTGCAGCGGGGTTGAACACTTCCTGCTGGAGTTGCTGCCGGAGCTGCCGGACATGGAGCTGGTGGTGAACGTGCGCGACTACCCGCAGGTGCCGGCATGGATGCCGCTGCGTCCCGTCTTCTCCTTCAGCAAGGTGCGGCGCAGGCGCCCGGCGATCGTGTGGCGTTGCCATGGGAAACGAGGTCGTGGGTCAAACTCGCTTGAGCCACAGCGCTTGCGAACTTATGTTTACAGGCAAAGACGCGCCCTCTCTGCTAGCCGTGGGTCCTGGTGAGATGCAAAACTGTAGAACACGTGACGCGAAATAATCACGAGCATCGTGGGGAATTTTAGTAACAAAATGAGCAGGTAATAGGCGGCCTCCCCGTATGTGTCCCACAATCTAAACAGCGAGGGTCCTTGCCAATAAAAATTTGGCAGTTCACAAGCATTGGATCAAGCAAGCCTGACGCTGCTACGCTGCTGATGAAATACTGTAGGTTCACACCGGCTCCAGCTTCTGTTGAACCAATGCTGCTGAAATAATGCAATCCCAGGAGGCTGTGTGTCTGAAGGGACAGGTAATGGAAGGAAGTGTGGGGTCTGATTATAAACTGGACATCGGTGAAAAAAAGCTTTATAGCTCATCGGATTCCTCCAGTATGAATAAAGATTTTGATTTTGTAAATCCTCCACAATATCACCAATAATTATCGTGTGTTCTGCTACGTCTCTTTTCCTCCGTCTGACTCTGTGCGTGACAGACAAAGGAGTACCGGGACATCATGTACCCGGCGTGGACGTTCTGGGAGGGCGGCCCTGCCGTGTGGCCCCTCTACCCTACGGGGCTTGGACGCTGGGACCTCATGAGAGACGACCTAAGCAAGTGCGTGCCATGTGCCGCGTGCGTGTGGATAGAGAGGAGCTAGACGGGTGCGGCACGGGTAGAGTTGGGCTGACGCGGTACAGGAGGATGTGGAGCTAAGTGGACCAATAACCGGTCCCAGTGGTGTCAAGATCGGCCTCTGTGGAGCAGGCTCGTGAAGGACGCTACTGGGTAGTTGGAGGCTGCCGCCCGTCAACAGCAACGGAGTGTGGAGGAGCGATACTCACAACAATGAGCGGAGCGACGGGCGGTAAAACGCAGCAATTGGGGAGCGCAGGTGGTGTATTTGTCAATCATCTGATCCATAACACGTGGGTCTGTCCCATGACTTGCCAGCAAGCCTAGCACACTTCATGTGGCCTCTAGCCTGGCACAAGCGCTGTGGCGAATTGCAGCTGTTCGTGTTTAGGCATGTGTGTGAGTGCATTTGAGCTGTGGCGCAGCGATAAGTGTGTTGTGCTACGAACCCGGCGATCTGAGTTGTGATTCCTGCTCATGGCCAACACCATTGACGATTATTTGAACCGGTCCTGGGCCTCCCCTAGGTCGACTCGGCCTCATATGAGTACCTGGTGCGGTGTATAAACATGGCCACGAGGGAGAAAAAGAAGGCCGGTCGTGGTGCTGGCCACACACCCGCTCATGTGCCGTGCCGCCCTTCATAGGTGCTACACGCTAACAGCACTTGCCCCAACAGTCTGTTAAGGCGATACGGAGGAATCCTTGTCTGTTGTGTGTGTGTGTGTGCACGCGTGTGTGCACGCACGTGTGCGTGTGTTTTGTTTGGGAAAAAAAGTAATCTCCTCGCTCGCAACATTGTGGTGTGCTGTGGAGGCTGAAAGGCTGATGCTAAGCAGCCATTACCCTCGCAGCATGCTCACAGCAACTGCAGAGGCCAGTGCGGGCTCGCAGGGGAGGACGGGCACCTATAACATCTCCTACTGCGACCCTGTTTTGTGGAGCCAGGAGACTGAACTATGCCCCCTACCTCAGGCTTTTTCCTCGAGAAACAGCCGGAAACCACTGCGGTTGGCCACGTGGGGAAAGTCCGAACACTTGCTGCTGTTGCTGCTGCTGTTGCTGCTGCGGAGGAGGAGGAGGAGGAGAGGCTGCCAATCCCCTGTCGGGGAGAGCTGGACCGGGTACCGCCTGGACCTCTCTGGAATAGGGGAGGACCTTCAGTGGACTGGTCCAAGCTGCAGTTGCCTCGAAGGGTGGAGAGTCTTCCACTCGAGGCAGGAGACTGCCAGACAATAGGGAGCGACTCGTTCTTAATAAAATAATGAAGGGGGGGGGCAGCGTGGCGGGGAGGTGTGTGTGGGAAGCTTAGTGGCGAACAGCGGCCGCTATTGTTGTTGTGCACGTGTGTGTGTGTGCGTGCACACATCTGACCTCACCGGCTCTTCTCTCGCCTTAACGTTCATCAAAAAACTGTTGTCAGGACCGCAGCACGGTGGCCTTGGGAGAAGAAGAAGACTCGGGGGTTTTTCCGCGGCTCCAGGTGGGTAACTGCGATACGGCGACAAATCACGGTTCTTACGGTCGTATCTTCTCTTAAAGGGATTTGTACAGCGCCCTTGTCCAAGGCGCTTTACGCAGAATGAACAACGGTGCGACGTACGAATGCAGTGGTGGAGATGAGGTGGAATGAAATAGATGGGAGGAAGCATTGGGGCAAATCTGTGGCGATGCTGCATGAATTGGGTGAAAGCAAACTTGATGACGGTAAGTGATGATGAATGGATTGAATGAACGGGGGTTAATGAGTGAAAGCCATATAATGTGAATATGAAGAGGGAAAAATAACGGTGGCGGTTATGAGTGGGAGATTAAGGGGTCGTGGGTGAGCTCGGAAACAATCAGTGAGTTTTGAGTGCATCACACGAGTGGTTCTCAGACTTTTTTGGTTACTGTGCTCCTTTGGTGGATTTTGCCTTGGCTGACCCAAACATGGTTTCTGAGAAATAATTGCATGCATAAAATGAGCATCAATATTTGAACCAAGTGTCCAAATTGTGAGGTATCATCCTAACTAGCTGGTAACTGCAAGCGAATAAAAAAGAATCAACGGACGCTCCGCGTGCATGACAGAATTGGTTCACGCTCGCTTGTTACTCTTGGAAACCAGATTGTTTAGATCAATGAGTTTAGAAAGGTCTTTTATATGGTTCTAGGTTACCACGTGGATTTAAACATTAATTGCCACGTTTTGTTTACGTGACAAACCTTACTAATTGGCGGTGTCGGGTGGTGGTGGTGAGTTAAGGGCACATTTATGTTCATAATGTGGGCTAACCCAAAAATAAATTACGATTGACAATTTCAAAAGCCACGGGGAACTGAACGCGCGTTCAGATTGACCGACTTGCTGCTGTTGTTGCTGCTGTTGCTGCTGCTGTTGTTGCTGCTGCTGTTGCTGCTGCTGTTGCTGCTGCTGTTGCTGCTGCTGTTGCTGCTGTTGCTGCTGCTGTTGCTGCTACTATTGCTACTACTGCTGCTACTCTACTGCTGCTGTTGCTGCTGCTGTTGCTGCTGTTACTGCTGCTGTTGTTGCTGCTGCTGTTGCTGCTGTTGCTGCTGTTGTTGCTGCTGCTGTTGTTGCTACTGCTGTTGTTGCTGTTGCTGCTGTTGCTGCTGCTGCTGTTGCAGGACGAGTGCGGAGCGAGACCCCCTGGTGCTGCTGTCTCGGCGCGAGCCAAAACTCGTGGATGCCGCCTACACCAAAAACCAGGCGTGGAAGTCGGACAAGGTGCGGACTGGAGCCTGCGCCCTCAGCCACCTCACAGAGTCAGAGTGATTTCCTGCGCTCAAAAGAGCATCGAGGCATCGGTGGTGACCTCCCGTTCGCAGCCCTGCCCAGCCAGTGGTGGACATTCCTCATTCCCTCGGCAGGGGCGAGTCTATTCACAGGACAACCACTGTTGGACTTCCTCACAAAGTGGCCCCTATTTTATCGACCCTGGAGGAAGGGATGAGTCAACCGCCCCAACTCGGGATTTGAACTCGCAAACCTTGCGATTGCGAAACCGCTTGCCCCACCACCGAGCCAGGGAGCCGGTTGGATGGTTTTGAGCTGGGGACAACGAAGTCGGTGTCTCGACTAAAAACTCCAATCGGCTTCTTTTGTTTTTTGTGCCTAAACATCACAGTGGACGTCAAGGGTCCCCGTGACGCTATTCGAAAAAAAAAACGGTGAGACGTTGTCCACGTTTGAATTGTGCAACTCGCCGACTACTCAGTTGGTCAAAGCTACAAAGCGACTGGGGAAACAGATGGCGCCTTGCAGGCCGTCGCTGTGTTCACCTTGTGCCACACAGAGACAGCTGCCTCTCGTGCAGCGTTTCTTCACTCATTTTGAGATGGGCTGGGGCAGAGGTCGCAAACCGGATACCCGTACTCTACCCGATACCCGGCTACCTGTACCCGGCCGGGTACGGGTAGCCGGGTAGCCGTTTGCGACCCTGGTGCGGCCGGGTACGGGTACGGGTAGGCCGTGAGTCACTGGTGAGTAACCGTTTGTCACTCATTTCGGGTAGGGTACGGGTAGGGAACGGGTACCCGTACCCGGCTGGGTACGGGTACGGGTACCCATTTGCGACCCTGGTGCGGCCGGGTACGGGTACGGAATCAAAACCCGTTTGCGACCTCTGGGCTGGGGCTGGGGGGGGGCACTTTTGCCGATAAGACATCATCATCAGTGTGAGGGCAGCCACCACGCATTTGAAGCCATTGGGGGTTTGACAGCAGCACGATGATGATGGTGATGATGGAGGGTGTTTTCACCATTTGTGTATTGTCGGGGGGGGGGCTGCACATCAGGGGCCGTACCAAAGGGCCACCAGGGACGGCCAGTGGCCCGCGGGTTCTTGCAATGAAGAACACCGCTTGCGTGTGACCTGTAGGCTAAACAACTGCATTATGAGACGCTTCGTTCCATTGTGGGCGCAACATGTTTGCAAGTATCATTATAAGAATTGTTATCATGAGAGTACAATGATTATTTTCACCATAATAGAGTTTTTTTGTGGTTAGATCGCGTGAATATAAATGTGTCATTAAACCCGCCACCGCCCGACACAGCCAACTAGTAAGATTTATCACGTCAACAGAACGTGCCAATTCTCTACTAGTACAGCACACCGGTGTGTTGGAGAGTAAACCCACAACATTTACAATTCGAGTACCGTGACGTGTCGAAGGGAATTGCAACTAGCATCATCAGGCGACAGCCAGATCTGTGGAGAAATACTCCTGTTTATATTTATCACGCTGTCATATTTACGCGATCCAACCCAAAAAAACCTCTATTACACTGGTCAACAAAAAAAAAACATTTTTTTCTGGCCTGGACTTTTGCAGCTGTTTTAGACTAATTTCAGGGTGCTGATTCCAAATCTGATCTCAGATTTGCTCTATCACATCATTTTTATGCTATCGGCATACCCCATTTTCATTGATTTTACCTGAAATTAACTCTGTCACTTATGATTGCAAGTTGTTGCGAGTCAGTGACTGCTTTAGTGTTAAAATATGGTGCTGTATTTTTAGGATAGTGTGGTTATAATATCATTTTATGTAGATATCCACATTTATTTAATATTTTTCTTCTGCAGTTTTTATTGAAAATGCAATATTTGATATCTCAAAAACCTGACAGACAAAAACTGATGCCAGATTTGGAATCAGCACCCCAAAATTACCTTCAACCCGTTGGAGAATACCTTATGCCAGAAAAAGTGTGTTGACGAGTGTTATGGATAATATTGGAAGTGAAAGCCTGCTACGTGTTAACTGATGATTGTTAACTTTACACGAACGCCTTTGTGCCATACCTTTCTGTTGCCACTCGAGGACACGCTGGGAATGCCACCGACGAAGGAAATCGGCCTGGTTGACCACTGCCAGTACAAGTAACGAAGTGACGCACCCCACAGCCTCACACCACGCCGCATGCACAGCCACGTCCGAGCTGTGAACGATTAAGCAGTCGGTATCTTTTGCTTGCGTTGGGGTGGTTGGTAGACTGTGCCGATTCATCAGTGATGTGGCCCAGTGAATCAGCGGCCCACAATCGGAATTGTTCAATCGTTAGTAATTGTAGCGAATACAGGGAATCCTCTACTTACGAACGAGTTGGGTTTCAGAGGTCTGTTCGTAAGTAGAATTGTTCGTAAGTCCAACTTTACTCCTGTCGATTCCGAGCACGTTGTACGGCGTGTACACTAAACACGGGGAATGGCTTTAAAAGTTGTATAATCTCTTGCAGACGTAGATGCCACTGGTTCTTCACGTTCTGCAGATGTAGATGCCACCACCACCATCTAATGCGTGGCGGTTGAACTTACGACTATATCCAAACAGGCAACTGGACATTCGGACAGGTGTGTTCATATCTCTGAAAGTTCGTAAGTCGAATGTTCGTAAGTAGAGGAGTCCCTGTACGTAATTGGTGGTAGTGAGTTTTGCAGTCGGGAAGAATTGTTTGCAGGGCTGATCGAGTAAGTTGACATTGATATTAACATAATTACTCATACGGTTATTTAAGCTAATATAACGTCTGTAAATAAGATCAACATCGGTTCGTGAGCAAATACATTTAGTGAAGGGACAGCAAGTGATATGTTTACATGTGGGTAACGTTCATATGAATACATATTTGTTCTTCAGTCGGCTTGTGTTGATTCATATATATAGTGATGGTAAAATACGATAAGTTGCGTGACGCAGATGCATAGTCAGGTCATAGCAGGGATAGTTTAAGGGTCGCGAGCGATTTTGTCCTTGAGTTTTGTCGGAAAAAAACAGTCGTAGCCATATGCGCGGTTACCCGGGGCTCGGGCGGATGGGAGTGGAGGTGCGGGCGCGGTGGTGCAGGGGACGGCCGGGTGAGAAACTCATCTGTTGTAGACAGCGTTCACAGTGAGCTTGTATGTAAAGGGTTGTTCTATGAGACATCTCTTTTACCAGTGGCAAAATATAGTAATAGGTTTTACCCTTTCAACTGGTACAAAAACTGACACCTTTATACAAGGCATCCTGTTTGCAATAACCACAACACAAGCAGTCAAAACGCAAACAAAAAGAAACAACTCTGATAATGATATGCACTGTCCTTGACGTTGATTGGTCCACACCCGAGACAGCTTTTCTTAGAGCCTAGTCTCCATTGATGTTGGACCAGATGACGCCAAAAGGCGTACAACTCCACTCATTATTACCATTATCAGAGTTGTTTCTTTTTGTTTGCGTTTTGACTGCTTGTGTTGTGGTTATTGCAAACAGGATGCCTTGTATAAAGGTGTCAGTTTTTGTACCAGTTGAAAGGGTAAAAACCTATTACTATAAAGGGTTGTTGTGAAGTTGCGCCGGTGACTCCTGGCCTTTCATGCCGGAGCGACGTGACATCTCAAGACAGTGGCGCGGGGGGGGGGGGTGGGGGAGCAGAACGCAACAAAGAACGAGTTTGACGCCGAGTTTATTGGCCGGCTGAAACTCGCCGCCGTAAGTACGCGACCCTCAGGGTCGCTACGGGGTTGAGGAGCGAGCGACCGGGAAAAGGTGGTCAGATCACGTTTGTTAATGGGCAAGGACCCTCTCCGTGAGATAAGGGGATGGTCTCAAATGTAATATTTCTGGTTTAGTTGAAGGCGTGGTGGGAGGGTGGCCAACGGCATGATTTGCCTCAGCCCCCTCTATGGATGGCTCTGCCACCCCCGTGTTCCTGAAAACAGGCCTCAAGGTAAACCGTGAAGAGCTGAAAGATGCATTCGATTGAGCCGCGTTGGGAAAGGTTTTCCTGTACTTCTATGGCCGTGGTCCCGTGTCCCCTTACACTCAACCCCAGTGTGCCTTAACAAAGTCTTGTTGTCTTCCCCGTATTGATGTCCTTACCCCGCACCTCCGATTGGCCACGGTTGGCTACGTACGGTGGGACAGAAGTTCAACATCCATACGCACGCATGCACACACACACGGGAAGGTGTGTAACTTATTTTCGCTGGCGAAGTAACGGGAGGGAGAGTGAGAGAGCGAAACGGCGTTGTTGACGTGCGCGCAGGTACCTGTTCAACTTCCGCGGCGTGGCGGCGAGCTTCCGCTACAAGCACCTCTTCCTGTGCGGCTCACTCGTGCTACACGTAGGCGACGACTGGCATGAGTTCTTCTACCAGCAGCTGAAGCCCTGGGTCCACTACGTGCCCGTGCAGGCAGGATCTCTCCGACGTCCGGTGAGAGAGAGAGACGCACACGCAACGGTCGCCAGCAACGCTGAAGGGGTTTGAGGGCGCCACGGTGGCGAGATGTTAACTGCCTCGCCTGGTATGCAGGAGGTCGCGGGTTCGATCCTGACCCTTGATGCCTGCTGTATATTTAGAGTTTGCGGTGTCTCTCTCATCATCAAACATGGTGGCTAGGAGATGTTAACTGCCTCGCCTGGTATACAGGAGGTCGTGGGTTCGGTCCCGACCCTGATGCCGGCTGTATATTTGGAGTTTGTGGTGTCTCTCTCATCATCATCACATTGGCTAGGAGATGTTAACTGCCTCGCCTGTATGCAGGAGGTCGTGGTTTTGAACCTGACCCGGACGCCTGCTGTATATTTGGAGTTTGCGTGTCTCTCTCTCCCCATGGTCGCCTGGATTTTTCTCCGCGTCTTTCAGTTTTTCCCTCCATATTTAGAAACGTGTGTTTAGAGTATTTGACTGCTGTCATTTCCACATGATGAGCCACTTCGATTAGCACGGTTGACTACGTACGGTGCAAAAGAAGTTCAACATACAGTTCAACATACGTTGAGCTATCATTTGTGACCAAGTGGGCCTTACCTGGCAAAATAAAAAATAGTTGATCAAGAACACGGACAACAATCTCGCGTAAAATCTCTTGCTTGCATGCTTTGGCAGCTCCAACTGGCCTAAATCTCATCTCATTACAAACCATGCGTTGTGTCGGCATCATCTCATGGCATGAACACGCAAGCACGTTCTTTTCCCCCCATTTATTTCAGGGAGGTCTTGGAGTTTGTGAAGAACAATGATGATGTCGCACGGGAAATTGCCGAAAGGTGAGCGCATTCATTTTTTCCCCATACACCGACGACAAAGTCCATTCCCAGCGTCAATTCGTAACGTGGACGTAACGTGTGCAGCTTGCCTTCACTCTCGGAGAGGGGAACGATTCAGAGGCGCGAGAAATCACAGCAGGTTGCAATCATTGCACACCAATTGCTTGCCACAAATGAACCGCAATATCTTGCTGATCTCATCAAGAAGCATCGACCATCGTGTGAACTCCGGTCATCTTCGCAGCGGCTTTTGGATAGCAATTGAACAAAGACGGTGACTGCATCGTGCGCGTTCAGATGCGCTTGTGCGGCCGTCTGGAACGCTCTTCCGATATTAGGAAGCCACTGGAGCTATGCACTTTTAAATCATCTACATTGACAAACTCATTTCTTTCGAACTGCTTTTTGTGATTAGTTTGTTGTCCTTCCCTCGCACCTTCGAATAGCGCGGTTGGTTTCGTACGGTGCGAAAGAAGTTCAACGTACAAACAGGAAGGCAGCCCGAACCGGTGCCAACAAAGGCCCAAGCGCTATGGTTCAATATTCGGATATTTGGCCAACTCCTTGAATGGGTCATTTACAAAAACCCTGACTGCATTTCTGCTTTGCGAGTCGTGTTGTCACGAATGAACACCCCTCCACGCAGAGCCACATCTGCAGCTGGCACCGCACGCCACCCTGGTCACGGAATGAACCTTGGAAGATGACGTCACATAACTACAGTCTTCTCCTATGACGCGGTAGTTGCGTTCCTTGAAGAACACCGCACTGTGGAAAGATTACCTTATGATAAATTGTATAGTGTAAAGCGCAGTCCATGGCAAAACGCGAGATGCGTACGCAGGCTGAACAAAGACTGCGGTGCGTGGGTAGCATCGATAAGCATCCAGCAGCATCCCACCTTGTGTAATACTACGCCAAGGCAACCGTACAACCGCTTATTGAAACTCGCGTGACTTAGTTCTATTCACTCAATTGCGTTGTATCCAATTCACATCCGTGTGATAAAAAAAACGTGTTCTCCAAATACATTCATCGCGTTATATCCAATTCACGTTATGAATAACACGTTATAGGAGAACAAACTTGCATATATTTTTTTGGGCTGATTTAAAATCTTGTTGAAATTGTTCTTTCCACTCTCAGGGGGCAGAAGTTCATCTTGGATCACCTGAGGATGGAGGACGTCT